ATGGGGATGCTGTGATCGTTGTGTGAATACTGGTTGTAAGTCATTTAAAAGAGTTGCTAAACAAAAGGTTATAAGTCGAGGACTACTTGTAATGTAATAGTTATTACCAAATTATATTTTACTTTGATTTTATAGGTTTCATTTTCCTTTTGAATCCCAAGAATATCTATGGTAATGATGATGAAAGAAAATACCTCTGTTTTTAGAAATTGGATTTTTCAATGGGAAAGTGGCAGCTAACTGGGTCAGTCTTTAGCAAACACTCATTTCCCTGCTTATCATAAACTGGAGCACTTTTCCCCAAGACAAAAGGTGCCGTTGGATACAACTAAACATTATTCCTTTTAAACAAACTCTGAGACTTTTTGTATTTGTTTCCTATGATTTGGCAGCAAGAAATCTTACTGTAACTATAATATTTACCAGCTCTTGTTTTTAACTGTTATGTGTAACTTTTTGTGAATTCTTTTCATAATTATGCTTGGCAACTGTTCAAAGTCAACAGTTGAAAGTAAGAAAAGGAATCATCAATAAGTTACTATAATGAAATATAAGCTGAGACTAAGGATGAATAGTTGTAGAGGAAAATGAACAGACTTTTAAGTTTTGTGTATGATAAAGCTTCTTGTATGTCTTTCAAACACCTGATTCTTACACAGAGTTTCTGGCCGTCTTGTGGAGATCTGGATGTTCTTTCCTGAAATGGCACCCAAATGTAACAATATTCTGGCTAGTTGTTTCCCAAGATGGCCTCCACCAATAATCCCAATCTTCAATGTTTGATTATCCTTAGAAGCTTGGGAACCAGCAGGTACATCCCCACAATTATCTTCTTTCTGTCTGAGGGAAACCCCAAAACAGTTATTATTACATACACATACATAAAATTCAAAGTGTAAAATATATGCTATCTATTTCTTAGAGTGTGAATGGGCAACTGTGTAGAAAATATCTTGGAATGATAGGCTGAATTTGAGTCAACAGCCTAATACGTTCATAAAAAAAGAAAAATGGCCACTTTAAGCTGCATTACTAGAAGTGCATTTGCTGAAACACAGCGGTTTTGTTCTATTCTACTTTGGTTAAGGTCACCCTGACTACTAGAATCCAATGCATTAAGAATAATGCAGGCTAATGACAATGTGCTGACTGACAATCAGTAAGAGAAGTTAAAGAATGGGAAATCATAGAAGGACAGATGGATGTAACTTTTATATTCTAACCTTAAAAAGATAAGATTGAAAAATACTATGTAGTCTTTGCTATTATTCACAATTGAAAATTCAAGATCTTTGTTAATGTTGCTACAAATTCTTCAAATGTCTAATAGTAATTCCTAATGTATCTGACATTGTCTAATCATGTTATTTTACTCTAAAAATATAATTTATAGCTATTTATAATTTCTATTGCTTTGACCATTCATTTGCCTGAGACAAGTACACGATTAAAAGCAAACAATTTAAAGAAATAAAATAATTGCAAGGGATAGGCTTCCACAGATTTGCCAGAGTAAAACATCCATAACAGACATTCTCCATGATTCATGGAATGTCCTGAAGCAGAGTCAATGGTAAAAGCTAGGTCTATGAAGTTCCTTGAAGTACATTACAATTGGGGCTGAAGGGACATTAGGGAGAATAGTGTTCCAGAGGGCAGTGACAGAGAAGGTTTGCCTCCTGGATCCTCTAAGATGACATTACTTAATACACTGTTTCTTAATGTGTGGTCTTTAAGAAGGTTCCCCGAGATTCTCTCGGGTGTCTGCAAAGTCAAAATTATTTCCAGCCTATGTTGATTTTTAATTTTAATTTTTAATATGGTAAATGTTAATCAATACAACCCATAAAAATCATTTTGGGTACCTCCGTAATTTTTTAAAATGGGAAGGGGTCCTAAAACAATTTTTTTCAAAAAGTTTATGAAACGTTAATTTAATAGATGAGACCAGAAAAGTGCCCATTCTGTCAGATCTTATTGAAGGCACAATTGAGGAGAGAAACACAGAGAGGGGTGGGACGGAGGGAGGGGAGGAGAGATATGTATATATATATTTTGCCTTACTTGGTGGCATTGAGTAATTTGCAGAAGAAAAGTGCATGGGCGCAAGCATTCACCATCAATCCTTTGGCACAAGACCTCAGACGAAACAGTGGCTCATTTGTCCCAATCCCATATTCTGGCTGGAAAGTCTTTAGGTTTGCCATAATATTGGCCATTTCAATTGTTTGCTGAGAGCAACTGAAATTATAATAGAAATCACTCTTGTTTGACCACCTGGTGGTGGCCATCCATTGCACTAGTGTGTTATTAAAGCAAAAGACAGTTCAGTTGTGTCACATGCAGTAAAACATGTACAGCACCTAGAAACTGGAAAGGGTAATGGCAGTTTTTATTTCTAATCGATTTTATAATGAACATTTATTAATAAACAATTCTCTAGGAAAGTCAGGGGTCTCCAAATGCTTGAACCTTCCATGAAGTTTCAGATTATCCAGCGCTAAACATTTGTTACATAAAAATAATTTTATAAATATTGCTTTAACAGTACTATAACAGTACTATTAAAGGGTGTTGGGCAACCATATAAATCTCTTTAATAAATACTTTATAAAATAGTAATTAAAATATGAAAAATATAAGACTTAACATACCTTTTTATTAATATTATTAATGAGAAGGAAGTATCTGATAAGCATCAACAAGGTCACTGATATTTGGTTGGAAATTGGTGTGATAGTCTTGCCCACTATGCGAGGTGAACAGGAACACTATACATACATATATTCTTTGTAGAACAGAGAAGATTAGAGAGACAAGGGAAAAAGTAGAAGGTCAAAGGCACACAACACAAAGCATGCTCGTAAATGAGACCATCCAATCCTGGGTAACACTGTCTCACCACTACCTCATCTTCAGAACTAGTGATTGGCATAGAGCTCAGAAAATAACTGACAGTCTTCCACTATTTACTATTATTTATTTAGATGGAAAAAAGAAGCTAAACCATAGGTCCCTATAACGTGGGGTGGTTCAGGACTGAAATCTTTCACCCCTCCTCTAACATATGCATGAGATTGCTGTGAAAAGTTACCTGATGGCACAGAATATGGTATTATTAATATGCATCTCTACCCCCGACTGACCATGCAACACTGTCTTATTGCTGGATCAGCTATAAATGTTTGAAACTGAATCCAATTCCAATCTATCGAGATCGAGTGACTCTGGGTCTTTGATTCTTCTAGTTTTGGTGAGACATGATCTCTAGTTCTTGCTGGGGTTGCACTCCTCTGGATAGGCCTGGTGTACATTTGGGGGATTCTCCTGGGTGTGGCTTCTTTTCAAGGTATCACTATCAGCCATGACTGGGGGACCTCTACACAAATTAGCCCTCTGTGCCACTTCATCTATTCCTGGACTGGGAAGTCTTGCAATATAATTTACATGGAACTGCCCTTGAAGAACATCAGGTCCCTGCCCTCTTGGCCTTCGAAAACCTTGGAGAGCTGGCTCTTCCTGCAAGCATTTGTATACAGTGAGGCTGGAACCCAATAAAGTTGACTGTTGATGTGTGGGAAATATTGTTTCTGGCAATGAGGGAATAAGTGACAATGAGCAGTGGGGTTTCTTGTTTGTAAGCCAAACAGAGACATGGTGCATACGATGGGTGGTTGAATATGTCTTAAATACATGAATAAATATGTTTAAAATTAAACTAGTGTGCAAAATACAAGCCAACATATAGCATATATAAACATATTTTAAAACCAGAAAATTACAAACAAGGCAGTAAAAGATTGTTGCCAAAACAAGCCATTCGGCCTATTGTACTCATGTCATATACAACTGTGTAAATAACAGAGTATATGGTGAATGGAGAGCACAGGACCACTTTCTTTAATCCAGGAAAGCACAATCTAGGTGTCCTCCAGATATAAAATTAGAAATACAAATAATCTACACAGCAGGATAAACGGGTGGGAGCCTGAGTTACCAGCCTACCTCAAGGATAATTTATTTAGGTACTCTAATCCACTGCTCCTAAAAAGAAACATTAAAATGAAGAGTAGACTACAAAGGGATTAATCCTGATAATCTTTGTTTTATACTTACAATGTATAGCTTCTGAAAGTCAAGCATCAAATGAAACTAGTGTTCTAGCTCTGACAGTTTGTGATTGGTTCAAAATAAAAACTGTTAACCGGCATAACCTCCAGTTCCTAATCAGAGGACAAGTTTATTTGAAAACTTTCCCCAACAAACCACCACTTTTGTCAGCATGTAGACAAATGGAAAAGAAAATCTCACATAGTTACCAGGTATGGAAACCACCAGTTGCATTGCACCAAATTTGTTTTAAGCTTCTGGCTCCTTCCCAGCAATTACCCTTCTGGTCTGCAGCAAAGGTCATTCTCCAAACATAAGGCTGTAGTCATGGCAAATGCTTAGTTACAGAAGCTGTTTTTTTAAAAAAAGTTTTTTGTGATTTCGTAAGTGCAGCCTTTAAAAGAGACAGCAAATGATTTTCAGCTTCCCAACAGGATCAAAGCAAGGAAGTTTTCTCCTCTTTTGAGGTCACTATGCAGATACAGTCCTTCCCTTGTGCATGGAATTTGGTTTCAAATTTATTATGTACCCTGCACGTAAATTGTTTAAAAAAAATTGGTAACAAATGTTGGCTTGGTTTAACCCATCATTTTCCCAATCGTTACTTTTTCAATGTTGGTTATATTAGCTGAGAACCAGAGGTCCATTACTACCCATAAATCTGCCCCAAAATATTTTCTGAACATTACTTGCCTATACACTTTATAGCTATATATTGTGTGGATCCAGCCAATTATAACTTAATCCGTTAATAGTGAGATTGCAGCAGTGTCCAATCCTTGGTTCAGACAATATATGAGTAGTCTGAGTTTCTAAATATTGTGTTTTTGAAAAACACTACCTATTTCTTTTTTACTCTCTTACAGCCAAACAGCCAGAGAAACCAAATATAAGGGAGGTAAAGCTTTATTTACAACATGGAAAGACAACATGAAGCCTAGGAGGAGGATGTAGATTTGCTAACAAACCTGAAGCATAACCAGCAATTCCAATTATTTTCTTTGGAATTTGAGAGAAAATATAATTTGATTAGTTCAGTACACCCTTCAAGACAGGTAGTTTCCATGTAGAACTGAACTCACGTTTTCATTGGCTGAAGGGCCATGCATTTATATACTCCAACATTTGATGTATGTAGATTTATTCTTAAGAATCTTATGCAACATTTCCCAAATAATTATCCTAGTTAATTGGTAATGGAGGCTAGAATAATGTGCAGGACAGTTTTCACATCCGTAAGAACAACAGTCTCGCCCCTTAGATTCAAATGAGGGAAAGCATATTTATTATACAGATTTTTATTTCCTATGGAAAGTTGTCTTGATCATTTCAGATGACTAAACAATGATCAGGAAGTGGAATTCTTGACTCAAATATGCTTCCCTTGTCTATATAATGTTGTATTCCTCATATGTTTATACTGTGGAGTTCAATTTGTCAGATGTGTGCTTCCTTGGCTAAATGTCTCTTTTGGCCAATTCAGTGCCTAAGAGGTCTCTTTTAGCGAAGGCTTCACAGAGGCAGCATCTTGAAGCAACAGGCAAGCTGACAGTGGATTGAAATCAGTGCAGAACTGGCTTGGCAATCTTTCTCTTTGACCTCATTGGGTCAAAATGAAGTGCTTCCAAAATAATGTAGTGTCTCTCAGTTCTTCCACCGGATCTGCTGAAAGAAAAGCAGAATTGGATGTGGTCAATATCAAATATAATCACATCTCCAGGTTCAGAAAATAATTAGCAAATATCTAGTCATCAAAGCCAATAGAAGCAAAGGAACCTATAAGCAACTTATGAAAAATAGATAAGATTTTATTTATGGTTAAAACAGAAAAAGGTTACTGAAACAAAATGATCCACTGACATGGCCTAAACTCACACAGCAATATTGATTTAAAGAGGAAAACATATTTTAAAAAGGAGCAAAATTACCAGCTTTATTTCATTTTCACCAGTTAGATAAAGTAGAATAAACAATCTTCCCATAAAACAGGCTTCAGAAATTATTTAATTAGATCCATTTCCCAAAGAGAAGTATTTAAGCTGCTGATAGGTCTTTTGAAGGTATTTTTCTACATACTAAAATCCAAAAGCAGGTGGATGATACTTCCTACTTATGGTAAAATAAACAGAAGGAAAAAAAATAAGACAAAGGATAATAATAAGACTTCTGAAAAGGCTAGCAACTGATCTTCCCATTCACTTTGATAATCTATAAGGCTTCAAAATTCTTGTGTGATCTCAACTGGCATCAATAATAAGAAAAGGAGTAAATATCAGGATATGGATACAAAATTGCTTAACCTAATGATACCAACAGTGGCAAAGAAAACATGCAACGAAATAAAGGAGTCCAGAGATAGAGCAATAAGGTGTTCTCATTTCCTAATGTTTCTCAACTCTACTTGGAACAGATTCTGAGATCAAAAGCGTTTAATTTTGCTGCATGTCATTTGTGCCCGATTGATGGAGTATAGTAAAAAGTCTTGCAAATCTAAAGCACATTTATCTTTGCATTACAGAATGCCACTCAGTATCTGGGTGATACACAACAGATAGTGACAGTGGGTTTTCTTTGCTTTCAGCTTAGCATGTTATTTATTTATTTATTATTTATTAATTTAATTTATATTGCCGCCTATTCGCCCATGGTGACTCGAGGAGGCTTACATAATGTAAAACCATATTTAAAACAAAAAAATAAAAAATAAAAACTAACAAAAAGAAACAAATAAATTAGTAAAGTACAATAGAACAAAATTTAGGAAAACAAAAAACAAAACAAAACAAAAAATGTTAGGTAAACTTAACTGATTATGATACATAAATCAAGTCATAGAGACCATTTGGCAAGCAATTGTTTTTCTACAACAGCTCGTGAGAAATATTGCACATTTTTTGAAGAACTACGTAAAAAGTCAGTACAACTGCAACTTTGTCCAACTGGACCTACAAAATCATAAATCTGTCGGCCCTAGAAGCCATCTTTCTTTTTGGATCTTCAGGGCTGCCATATTTAGTGTCTAGGCCTGCTGTGGGAAAATGGGAGAGGGGGCAGAGATAGATAGCCACAATAACATTCTTTTCTCTGGGAGTCAAGGACATTTAGCCTGCACCTGGAGAGGTGTGACTGGGAAATGTCTCCAGTTGGGACAGTAGACAAAATCACTACTTATTCATTTGAATGTATTAGCTAACCAACTCCAACAGACTTTTACTTTTATGTTTAAACAGAATGGATAAGTAAATAATGCTATATACATTAATTTCAAGTACAACTAGTTATACTTTTATTTGTAAACAAGTTACCTGGATTACTTTAATAGTACCATAACAGTTGAAAGATTAAAAGGAGATCCTTAACTCAGCAGGAATGGACCCAATGCTAAGGCCCTAAGCATTCTTCTACCTTAATAGCTAAATCCAAGAATCTATTATCAAGACCAAGGTTTTTCAAAATGTATCATATGGCTAGACAAGCAGAAAGGTTGAGTGAAGTAAATTGTGCTGCTGTAGAATATATTTGAAAATTTGGACTTGAAGTAAAAAATGTTTTTGTTTTTGACTGGTTTTAATGTGTTTTACTGGTTTTATTGTTTTAAAATGTTTTTTTTAATCTTTAATTGTAATATATGTTCTGAATTGTAAAACACGCCCCCCCACCCCAGTCATTCACAAGACGGGTGGCTATAGAAGTTGAAGAAACAAATGAACAAATAAATAAATAATTCAAGATAATTGTAAAAACAGACATATATCACAAGAAGCATAAAGAAAACTTATATATTTTGGACATATGATGCAAGAACAAACCCTCAATGCGTTTAAAAATTGAAGGCAGGGGAAAAAGAGTCTGGCAGAAGACGTGACATCACAAGTAGGAGCAGTTATTGACTGACTGTCATACACCGGGACATGAAGAGTCAGAAGCTACTGAGCATATGAACAACTAAAGTTCAACTGCAAGAATTTTGGGATGATCCTTGTTTTGCCACTGGTCTACCCATATAAAGCACCATGAGAATTCTCTGAGATGAAAATCTGACATGGTTCCAACAGGCCAATCCATCTGATCTTGAACAAGGTCCTCCCCCTTCTCCCATCCTCCATATTTGCAGGTGCTTCAGCTTGATTGGCTGAAAGCAGAGCTATCTGGGTTTTGACCACTGGCACAACAGCTTCCTTTGGAGCACAGAAGCTAGTGTATTTTTGCTAAATTAGACAGCACAGCCATTGAAGCAGAGACCTTCTGTGGGCATGTTGCTCTCTAGAAGCAGGGGGGGGGGGTTATTCTCTTTTTCCCTGGGCCTTAGCAAGTACATGTAACTTAAGGTGTTCTTTCTTACTGGGTTACTGAGGATACTGTCGATCTTCTCCTCTGCTGGAGAACCCCGTTCAACTTTGCATCTGTATGCCATCAGTTGCTGACGGTCCTTCAAGTCTCTGTATGTCTGGCAAATACCCAAAAGAAAAGCCAATTAAACAAAAGAACTACTTTTATCAACATCCTCAAACTCACAGTGATCTTCTAGACAGTCATCACCCATTCCTTCTCAGTAGCTATTTGGAAATCCTGCTGCTTCTTCCAGAGGCTGATACGGACTGCTACAACAAAGATCTGGGGTTTTTTTTTAAAAGCACCTTTGGGACCACCATGACCAGGATGACTGAGAATTTCCACAGACTTTTGGGACTTTCCTCAACATTTTTGGATGCAAAAGTGGCCAGCACATTCTGTTACCTAGTTCATTGAGTTTACACGTAATATTCACTTTTCTATTCATTTAAGTTAAATGTGTGATAACTAGAGTGAAAGATTAAGAATAGAAGGCTAACTTTATCTAATACTTTTCAAGCCAATATTTCTTTCTGGTTTTAGGCTAAAATGGTGGAAATGGGCAAATTTAGACAACTGACGCTGCCTCTTAGAAGTCAGTGAACTTGCCATCTAGCACATTATCAAATTGGCATGTTTTCATGGCTGTTATTATAGCTAAAAAAAGGGCAAGCATCTGTTTAAAGGCAAGAAGACTAAAACAAGGTCAGCAAAGAATTTTCCTAATCTTCTACAAATGCCCTTTCCTTGACTTAGAAGGAATTCCAAAGAACCTTCTTATTGATTGACTAGCTATCAACATGACATGAATTTACCTTCTGCTTTATACTCAGAAGAAATCAATCTGGCATGCATAGTATTGCCTAAATAATATGTTATGGAATCTGTTGATTTTATGCATTTATTACATTTTACTGAATCAATATACATCAAGATGTCAGCAATCTTCTGCTGATGTGAAAATTTAGTTCTTAAGTTGTGGGAACTGATTAACACAGCATTAAAAAACTAAAAAAAGAAGTATAAAGAAATGAACTCATAAAGTAGGGAAGGCTACTTTGAATACAACCATTGATGGATTGATTGATTGATAAGTGAGCTCAAACTTGTAATAGAAGCCACATCTTGTTCAGTAGGCTCAAACATAATATGCTGAAAGTGATATGCAAAAGCTGCACTCAGAGGTGCAACTAGCTGTTCTGGGATCTCTTTAAACATGCACATTCTAGAAGCAATTTTAATAACATAAGGGGCAGTAGTTCTGAGAGAGGCAGTAGTTCTGAAATACAAACTATGGTATACTGCCAATGATAGTTCCTCCAAGTAGTTCAAGAATAATTTAGGAATTTTTCACTAAAGAATCAATTGTCCGTTCCACAATTTTCCACATAAAATATGTAAAACATACATCTATAACAACATCATGGCACTTGTATTTCGTAGCAAGATTCAGCTTAGTCTCAACATTTTCTATTAAACGCACGTACTCCTGCAGGACCTACAGGAACAAGACAAAGAAATATCAGCAGAATATTCATGATCCCTTGCTTATCCCCTCATTTAATTCCACATCAGTTTTACCCTGAAGTAAGTTTATGTTTCTTCACCAACTACTTTTCAAAAGGTATGCGGTCCACTCTATAATCGAAGGTGTATTAAAAACGAACAGTGCATACCAAAGTTTTCATGAACAGTGTACAAAATTATTTGGGAAATAGACACATGAAGACTTTTCATGATAGAGGCAATGGTCTGTTGACCAGTGGACTATACCAGAAAGAGACTACTAGACAGCTTGCTCACTTACCTGTACCGGGGCGTTGTTCCGCTGCAATATCTCCACCACTCGATGGAAACCAATAGGAGCTCTTTTTTTGGTATAGCCTAACCAATTCTGAAATCACAAATTGAGAAAAAGAAAATAGCACCAGACCTTGTGACTGCCTGAGGATGGAGTGCTAAACATCTCTTAGGAGAGGCAATAGTTATTCTTGGGTATCTCCTTCATTTGTTGCATATGTTGCATTTGTTGCATATGTTCTAAAGGAAGATGCATTGGACAAAGCTGCTGTCCTTTTCTGACATACCTTACCTGTAGATATCCCAAAATTCAAAGAAAATAATTGGAACAAGCATTTTCCTATAAATGAACTAATGCATTATGCATTGTATAAGGACAAATAGATAAGCACATCACCAGCATAAAGAGTAATCATGCCAAGCACCATATATGATTCAATAAAAATCAGTAGGGTCTCACCTTTGTTGTGAACAAAGCATCCACATCATGCCAAGCTCGGAGTTTGGCACGAGCAGCCAGAGCTGTTAGCACATATTGTTTATCTGGAATCTGTAAGGTAAAAAAAAAAATGGAAATCCTAGAAATGGCTTGAGAGCTAGATTGTGATCCAGTGTGAAGTAATAGTTAAAGGGATAGATTAGGTTTCAGAAAACCTAGTTCATATCCATCCTTATTTACAGAAAGCTTACTGGATGATTTGAGGTCAATCATTCTCTGTCAGCCCATCCTTCCTAAGCTGTTTTGAGGAAGAACTAGAGGAGAGAGTACTTTATATGTTGCCCTAACCTCTTGGAGGAAACTGAAATTGAAAATAAAGATAATTAAATCCATTGGTTGCTGAGATTCTTGTAATGAAAGCTCAATTGCATGGCATGGGTCTTGTTGTCTATAAATACAATCTGTAGCCCTGAGCTAGTGCAAAAAGAAAAAAATCCATCCAACATCAGGCCAAGCTGAATGTAATCCCAAACTCATAGATACCCTGTGCAGTGCATTAAAAAAAAAGAGCAAATGAACAGATTTAAGCTCATTTCTGGTGGCAGAATATTATGGCTGTGAGTCTCTTAAGATGAACATTGTCCAATTAAGCTACTTTAACCAAGTCTTGTCACACTTCATGGTTTTAGCAGCACAATCCCTTGAATGCCTTCATTCCATAATACATATTCTCTGCATACATTTCTAGGATTGTTGGTCTCTTCTAGAAGATAGAGATGTATACTTGGAAAAATAACAGCTTCCTTACCTTGAAAGTTTTCTTCAAGTTTGCTGGACTACTGAATGTTCCCTGGAAAAGAGACATTGCAATTTTTATCAAAATCTTTTAACCAAGAAAAAAAAATTGGTAACAAGCAATATATGTAAAATTTACGTAACATTTTAGAATTTTCACCCCAAACATGAATAAAACTATTTTATATATAAACTATTTTAAATATATATTACATATTAGGCTTAAAATACTCCAAGATTTAACATCCAAGGAAGCCTTATCTAAACTAACCGAACTAAGGATAATAGTATTTTTACGTTCATTATTTTTAAAAACTTTGCAGTATCTGAAGAGTCCATTGTCTAACATACAACATTTCAGATGCCCACTTGCACACGGTGATATATGGCTTCTCCTTTATTCTGAAAAGACACCAGCTTCACCGATTAGAGATCCCCACTGCTAACCTCAGTTTCTGTGTAATGGTAGAAGCAAGAGTAGAAAAGTGTGGTGACTAATGGCATGTTTAGAATGGAAGCTTTTCTAGGGTATTTTCGAAAGATTTCCGTCTGCCCAGATGACTCTAAATGTTTGTCATTTGCCTGGAAAAAAATCAGAACAAAAAATGAATTGCATAGGAATAAAGAGATCTGGTGTGACATCAAAACATTTTTTTAAGCTTCAAAGACAATTGGGATTAAATCCCAGCAAGTGGGTTGTAATCCTTTCCATATTTATTTTCCAGAGATATAAGCCTATGTTCAGAAGTGTTCTTGCCTAAGAAAGTTTGGGCAGAATTGTGGTTTTCATGAATTTTTCCTAGTTGTTACCAGTTAGCTTAATCTACTCGAAGCCCAAATGAATTTCAAGGAGGAGGAATAGGATAAAGATTATATTAGTAATATCTGTATCTCAGAAAAATCCTTTATTTTTCTGAAATTACATGACAATAATCATGCAAGCCCAGGAAAAGTTATGCCTTCTCTAAGGACTTCTGAAACAATCACCCAGCATCTGCCATGATGGCTTTCATTATGGCAGGCATGGGCAACTTTTTCTACCCTTGGGGTTTAGCTGTCTTTCTTTTGTTCCATGTCTACAAGGTTTATGGCACCTATTTTTCTCCTTAACCCTCTAATCCAGAAATGGGGGAGGAAAAGATGTAATATTTTGGCCCTGTCTCCTTTTCTTTTTAGTCCGCAAAAAAAGCTTGGTATTATAACAAGGTCAAAGCCAAGAAGTCTGGAATAACTGTCACTGCCATGTAACCAGTGGCAGAGTGGGACCTCACCTCAATGATGATCTGTCTCTCCAAGAGTGTATAATGATCCTGAACATGAGCAGCATCCTCTGATGAAAAGGGCAACCTAGATTGGAGAAGTGAGAGGAGTTCACTTTTGCATTCTTCCTTTGTATAAAATACAACTATATTTATTCAAAAGCAAGTGCAGTGAGGCAGTCTTCTCCAATTGGCTATGCCACAAGTTCAATTAAAAAAGAATAATTCTGGCCTAATGAACTTTACAAGCTATTCACTGAATACAGAAAAAGCTATGTGGGCCCAAATAAAAGGCATGTCACATATTCTACTTGATCAGCTAGATGTTTATGAAAAGCTCATACAAGCAGGCCCTCAAGCAACCAATAACTGGACATTACAATGCATTTGAACTTAGTAATGTTCAGGTAGTGTAGCAACTATTGACAGTGTTATTCTTTATTAATTTGTCTATTTTTCTTTAAAAAAAATTTCATGTGTTGATTAGCAAAACATTTGAGGCAGTCATTTCTGCTCCTACAGTTTGAACTGTTTTCTAACCAAAACAGTCTTTTTGTTGGTCCTAAATTTGCTGGTATGGCCTTATTACAACTATAGGGAAAAACATCTCCAAAATCTATTTTCTCTATACAATGCATAACTCTGTAACTACTAGACAACCCCATCTTGTTTCAGACATACTTCCTTAACAGAGAAACAGAATGACCAAGGGGCAAAAAAGCAGTGGGAACAGGAGCAACTTCCAATTTCTTTCCAGTTTCCCCTTTGAATTTCCTTGTGGGAAGTTGGCTGGGATCATCTGAAATCTGCTCTCTCTCTCCTCCCCCCTACTCTGTTATTTAATGGCTGCTGTTAAGTGGGGGAGGGACTAAGGGATTGCAAGACAGGCTGGGAAACTGTCACAGAAATGAAAAATGAAGATCACACGATCACATCAGCAGCCCAGCAGCAGCCAGGAGGACTGAAACAGCCACAACTCCCCAAATTTCAATCCCCCAGGAGTCATAGGTACCAGATTTTGGACACGTCCTGTAAGTTAGCTCATTTGAGGTACCTTGGTTCAAAAACTGTTGTCATGTGATGCACCATTTCACACAGTTAAAAGCCAGGGAAAGCATTTTAGTGGAATATAGATGATGCTATTTTCCTTATTTGTACTTTCTCCTCCTCAAAGAAAAGCCTCTTCCTTGCAGCTTTCCGTTGTTTTTACTTTCTGAGGAACAGTAAGGCTTCCTTCCCATTAAAGCCACAAGTACTTTAAGGCTTATTCTCAGTTTATTTCTCCATAACTTTCACTTACCCAATGCAAGTTTTCAGAAACTCCTTTGTTTTCTCAGCATCGGAGATAGTCAAATGTTCATGGTATTGGGTCAGCTGGAGATGGTGGAAACAAGACAAGGAGAGCAGATTAAATATTCAATCAAGGCTGGGTAGCCCTGGCCCTACCTACTCCAGAGGGATTAGGAATATAATTTCCATTTTTCCTAACTGAGAGTTAGTACTGTGTGGCTTGCCTTCAATTTCTCAGCATATTATTGTTTCCTCCCACTAAAAAAAAGGAGTCTAGGCAACATGGGATACTCACTGCAACTTCCTCAGTCCTGCCCAGGAATCTAGAAAGGAAAAAAACCATGTATCAGACCTGTTCAACTTCCTGATCAGACGTCAGTTTTGGCTGTATGCTCACAAGGGCTTTTACCTCAACAGGTCTAGGAGAAGTTTTTGGTCTCCAGTCTCCTTGAGAAAATGTATTAAATGGCGCAAAGCAACTTGCCGCATCTCCAGCTCTCTGAACAGGATCTCTAGTTGTAAAGAGAAGAAGTGCTTGTCTAACAAGATCAGGCCTGAGTAATCCCCTCACTCTTTCTTTTGCTTAAGTATTTTACATCTGTTGGCCATCCTGGAAAGAGAGGATGGGAAGGGTAGTCCTATACACCTGGAGGGCACAAGATTGGGACAAGTCAGCTTACTATATGGTCAACTAACTAGAAGAAATGAAAGGATCACCTTAGCTATGCCAGTATACTGCACGTCAGTGCCTTGCCTTTAGCTAATTAATGGGATGGAGGCAACAGAATGGTGGCTTATAAGGGAGTCTCTTAGAAATTCCAGCTTTGTTGTTGTATTTGTGGCATAGGGCTAAAATATGTAAAATCTGACCGGTATGATCCTCTCATTAAAAGGGAATGCTGCAATGTAACAGTTAATCAGTCAAAAGAAAGAGGGTTAGCATGTGATTCAATACTGGAATAAAAAATTAAATTTAGCTCAAAACAACACTGTGGTTCAGTCTGCTAGTTCAAGGCTAAATTCATTCCCTGTTCAGCTGTGTTGTCCAAAGTATTATTTCAATAGCTGACAAGCTGAAAGAGGATAGCCTTATTTTATATGTGATGGAAAAGATAGTTTACGCACAGCAAAAGTTCTAACAAGAAAGAAAATCTGACACACTTCAGCTAGCCACATATGATTACAAAAATGGTAAAATTTGAATCTGCCACCAAAAAGGATGCTCTTTATAGAACGTAATATGTAGCATGATAGTATTTATGGCAGTGTTTTTCAATCTTGGCAAATTTAAGATGTGTGGATTTCGACTCCCAGAATTCTTCAGCCAGCATGCAGGCTGGAGGATTCTGGGATTTGATGTCCACACATCTTAAGGTTCCTACCTTTGAAAAAACTTATCTACACTGATGAATAGGAAGTGGTTTCTATGCTCAGTAGATCCAATTACAACCATACTCTGCAGCAATGATGTTTTCTCCACTGTATATAAAGAAATTTCAATTTAATTCATGAGATTATAAAATCAATTTATACTGCCTAAAATGGCTGTCTTGAAAAACACAGGGGATCTGTCAGCTTGACTTGTGTGAGGCTATACATACTTTATACAGATACATTTATAAATCCATTTGGAAATCCTGGACGTTACATACCTTTCCTTAAGGTTCTTTTCAGAAAAATGAGTATCTGCAGGAAAACAGATAGAACCAGGGTCCATTATACCGTCCATTTATCCACAATTGATTGATATCTTGCCTTTATTTGTACAACTGCTAAGCCAGATCTTTATAGATTTAGAGCAAAATCATAATCAGTATGATGACAAATTTATTTCTATTTTCATCAGATCCAAGTAGGCAGTGAGAGTGATGAATTGGTCTCTGGCGATGTTATTCAACAAGGGGCAAAAAATATTAAGCTCAGTCCAGGCAAACATTGGTGCTATCGGGGGATAACTCATGTATTGATGAGTTATCTTCTAGATAACTTCTAGACAGGACTGCACACTCCTCTAAAGGATCAAGTTTGTCCTTCTGGGTCCATCTTTAACAACAACCATTTGCCTGTGTGGAACAAAGAAGCTTTAATGCTCCTTGGATAGGGAGGCAATCAAAAACTGGAAAAATGTAATGGGGAGCACATACACTCATTTCTTGTCTGGTAACTGTATTCTGATCTAATGACTTGGTCATTAAGTGAAATGGTCTCCAAGGGAACATGTGACTGAGACAGAGAGAGGGAGAGGGACGGAAAGGGAGAGATCTGTGACTGCAAAGACCACTCGGTGCTGCCATCTCATTCCGATAAAAGTTCTCTTATGCAACGTCCTGTGCCTGGTCTGCTTTCCCTCCCACCTCTTTTTTTTTTTTTTTGCCTCCTTGAAGGGCAGAAAGATTGCTTAAATAAGTTATCTCTTCCCGAGCTGCTCTTCTCTGCAGTGGAGATGTCCCTAAAAAGTGCTATCCATAATAGCAAGTTAACAGCCTCAGCCTCAGTGACCTTATTGATTGATTGATCGAATTTATTTGGCTGCCTATCTCAAGCAGCAATACTGGGCAGCATGCAGTTAATTAGCTATTAGAACCCTCCCATCAACTTGCACTGCTGCCCGAAACTGACTTGATATTAATCAATTTCACACTCAATTCTCTTGTTGTCAGGCAGGGAAATTGTGTAAATGTGAGCATTTATGAAATTTGAAAATGATTTATTATTAATTACTGTCATATTTGCAAATGATTGCTAACCAAAGTAATTGCTAAATAAGGAGTGGCTGTAGTTCTCCCTGTTTATGACTGGTCATATATGCCCATTGGCAACTATTTTGTAAAAGTGTGGGAAACATCCTCCCTAAATTTCAAAAGTGTTCACTAGTTTGGAAAAAAAAATACATTGGTGGCCCCTGTTTGCATGATCATTGGATTTTTGAACATTTAAAAAAATTAAAAATATTTAAGGGATCTTATAATATTAATTCACTTTTCATTTCTTGGTGGCAAGAGTAGCTGGACCAATGTGTTCCAAAATATTTTGTAGCAGCAGCAGCAGCAGCAGCAAAAAAAAAAAAAAAAGGTCAATTGCCTCATATAGAAGATCCCAGCAATTTAGGGGAATAATTTATGAAAAAAATAGAAAAATAACCATGTTCTCATATACAGAAATAGAAATTAAATGGGTCAAACTGAACTGCCATTCCCATCCCCCTCTACTATACATTGGAGCAGGACTTACAGCTGTAATAACATTCCCATCATGCAATGCAACAGCTTCATCCAGTAGCAGTAATTTGTCCTGCAAGGAATGGAACCTTTCCAAGGAACACACCTAGAGTGAGATTCATAAACAAAAACAATATTGGAAAGACCTATAACTACTATACCTGGCTAGTGTATAGTAGTTATAAATCCAGTGAATCTATAACAGAGACAACCAGTGGAAGTGATTGCTTTCAGGGAGACAGCTTTAGCCTAATTACAAGCCCCAGAAACCTCAGCCACTGAGAAAAACAGTTTGTCATTTAGTATTATACCTCTGGGTTTACATCATCAAGCGCCTATAGTAGAATCCTCTTACTAGCATTTTCAAGAAAACCTTGAAATCTTTTAAAGTTAACTACACCAGCCAAGTGTTCAGGAAGCACCTCAGTCATAACTCTGAGGATCCATAAGAATTAGAGGTTCCACTTATATCTCCCTGATAATCCTTCCTCAAGTAATTTCATTTATTTCCTAATTCCCCAAGGAAAAGGAAAACTAATTGTGGATCATCTCTTTGTCTTCTAAAGATAGCTTGTTTTCCTCCTGGCCATCAATGGAGAGTTCTCAAGAATTTAAACCAAACTGATGGATTTTTTTTTCCCGCTCCGAAGTTGGCAGAACATAAGATATAGTTATAATATAAAATAGATTCTGGCAATAGAACTAGTTTGTCCTTGCATAATTTTTCATTGGTCTTCCTGTGGCTTCCCTTCCCTTTGCACAGTAAGATATCAAATGTGTCTTTCCAGCAGAAAAGGAAACTACTAATAACCATATTGCCATGTGATTATGCAAAAATAGTGTGAGAAACCCTTCCAGATAGATAAGGTAGATAGATATAGTTAAAAATGAATAGGTTCAAAAGTAGGAATAATCCTGGTTGCTGTTGTTAATTGAATTCCATACCTGATAAGGCAACTTTCTGCTGGCTTTCCACAACCAAGTCATTGGGAAAGCAAGCAGGAACTTGCAAGTTTCAGGTGGCATTCAAGCAGGCCAGCAGGCAGACAAATGACTGCTGCAAGATGGGGGAGGACCTGAGGGGGTGGATGGAGATGCATGGAAGGCATAGCAAGGCTCTGAAAGTTTGCGGGAGTGCACGAAAGACATAGTGAATATTGGAGAGGGTGCACAATAGTGCAAGGGAGGAGCACCAAGGCTCAGAGAGGGTGTGCCAGGGTTCACAATGAGGCAAGGATTGGAAAGGGTGTGCAGGGGAGGCATGATGAAGGTTGGGGAGGTGTGTGAGGATACAAGGAGGCACACAAGAGACATGCAAATGGGTGAGATATACCAACAACAACTTGCAATGTTCCCTGCCTGTTTCCCCATTGACTTTCTGGGGATGCCGGCAGAAATGTTTGCAAATCGCTATATTGTTATTGTTGGCCTTCTGCAAGTGGCTGCAAGTGCAAGCCAATTGCCAAGCATTTAGATCACAATCACATGACTGCAGGAGGTTGGTACACTTAGAACTCTGGAAACCGGTCATAACTACCATCCGTTTAGAGCCCCATTGTAATTCTGAATGGTTGCTGAATGAATGGCTGTAGGTTGAGAATTAACTGTAGCTTCTAAATTTTTTGAAACATAAGATGAGCTTTCAGAAAGCTCATCCTGTTTCCACTTCCTACCTTGCCTCTCTGTAGCCGTTTTACTGTATCGTTAGGGCTCCAATCAGAATTGTAATCCTGAAAGAGTAAAAAGAAAACAAAAACCACAGATAATGCCCTATGTGCTTTGAAACATCCAATTATGATTTGTGACTAAGAGATATGGGGGGAGAGGCAAATAACATTTCAGGCATCCTACCAGGCAACTCTCAGGGGGCTTGGAAACCTGAAAAAATAATCTAGGAATACAACATAATGGCAGGATAGGAATCTTGGGTTGGAACCCATGTTTTTAATTTGTCACTAGTTTAATCACTGAGAGCGCTTGGGCATGTTTTGCCTGCAAATAAGAAGCTACAGGGGAGATTTGATAGCTGTCTTACATAGCCACTGATTTTAGCTGATCCTGCATCAAGGAATAGTTTGAGCCAGATGACAACTAAAGGTTTCCATGATCTAATCTCTTTTCTTTTCAAACATTAATTAAGAAAAAAACTCTTTTAATCTCTTTTAAAATTTGGAACATGCTGCTAAAGCAATATATTTGCCTGAGAAAACACCGTTAGCAAACCATGCTATAGTTACTGTTTCAGAAGCTACCAATTTCCTTGCCTAGACTTATAGCCCAATTATACGCATAGCGTATGCATAGTTGTTTAAGTGTCCTTGGGCAAAAAGAGATGACGTGAGCTTTTACATTCAGGATAAGATTTTGTCATCTGATTCTAAACTATTTAAAGTTCTCCTTCCTTCAGATTCCAATATATATACTAACCTTATAATCTCCTTTTGGTCTGCGTAATTCTGGGGCATAATTTTTAAATCCTGTGTCTGTAAGAGCTGAAAAAGGAAGAACAGAAAAAGGAAGAGCAAACTTTCTGAATTAAGTTCTCATCTTTCTATGCTTTTTGCCCTTTCTATGGCTCATTGTCACTAAGTCTGATTCAGCACCAAAGTAACAATAATGCCAGTTAAAGCAACAAACAAGATCAATTAAATTAAGAGTCTGAACACACACAAAAACCAAACAAAGCAAACAATGGCAATTTCAAGGTTATTATCTGCCAGAGTTCAAATACTATCCTGATTCTTGTCTTAACTATTAGGATGTATGCTTTAAAATACTGAAATTAAATTACTGAAACTTTCAAATGCCAATTCATCCTTCTTCCCAACAGATGTTTCAAAAATCTTTGAAGACCTGGAATTTATGCTATAAGCTACCCTTAGTCATTTTGAAATAAAATGGCTGAAAATAAATTAAATAAATAAATAGCTTCTGGCATGGGGTCTGGAGATTGGGTGAGCATTCAATGTGATTTTTGGGGATGACTGTTGTTACATGGATTTGATTAAAATTTCTTCTATTATCTTCTTGTTCTATCTCATTCTGTTGGTTTTTAATCTCCTGTTAACCACCCAGAGATGCAACTGACAAGATGGAAAACTATATAAATTAATATAATAAACAAACGAACACATGAATGTCCCAAAGGTGCTTTTTTTCAAGAGGCAGTTGGATCTTTGGGATACCTTTGGGACAACCCTGACATGGATGACTGAGAATCTCCACAAACAGTTGAATCTGCTTTGTGATGACACTTGAACACTTGGTTGCTTCATTTGGATATGGTACAAGGAGTGGGCTGCAAGCCTGCTCTATAGAAAGAAATACATACTCCTCTGTGCAGAGGCAGCCCTACTCCTGTTCTCCAGACTCAGCATGGAACGGGGGCTGCAACTTCTAGCTGCTATATCCTGGCTTTCTTTCTCTTCCTAATGGCAGGGACCTGACTACATCCTGAACTCAATAGAGGTCACTTTGTCTCCAGTAATTTCTTGAGAGCTTTTTTTTGGAGAGTAAACTCGGAATGAAATGAAAGGACAAGGATTGCAAGGAAAGGCTAGAGAGGATATATATAGCAACCTTCCTTTTAGCAAGCTTAAGACAAAATCCAATCTTCTTACCATCTGAAAGTGACTGAAAACTCCCATGCTTATTTCTTCCTAGAAGCACAAATACGAAAGACAGAAATGAAGTCATTATTTCATCTAACTAGAAGCTTATTCAGCCAATAACTATTTAAAAAATGCCAAACATCATGTATTAAGATGTATAATCGCACAACTTCTATGAACATCTCATTTAACCATGTTGAACAACTGCTGAAAACTGGACAGATTTTTCCCCTTTTCTCAAGGACCAACCTTTGCCTATTCTCCATTTATCCTGTTGCCAAAGTTGTTAATTTAACTGGAAATATAAAGAGAAGGAAAACATTGTATTTCAAATAAAAATATAAAAAAGCATAAAAGCAGTGACTTTTTTCACAATAAGATACTAGGTAATAAGTGTATAGAGTGCATAACAAATGTTACCTTGCACAGACTTGCTATAAAAATTGAAAAACAACTTCTCTAACACTCTGCCAATCACAAGTTGGTGAAGAGCCAGAGAAAGAAATATTTTGATCAGGCAAGCTGAAACATTCAATTCTGAGGATAGCTCTGTTGAACAAACTCCCCCGTAATCAATACTCTACCTTTAAAAAAGCTGCTCAGTGAGTAGGAAGAGGATTGCTTGGGTATAGCTGCATAGGAAGAGCCCTTTGGCTGACTCAGATCCCTCCCTTCAGAGGTACTGCTGCTACTGCTGCTGGAGGCAGTCTCTTTGATTGACCATGAAATGCCTATAAAAAGATAGAGGCGGGGAGGGAGCGGGGAGAGAGAGAGAGAAAAACGGTATAATTCTTTAGCAAAGAAAAATATTAATTAATTTGTCTTGGAAATTTATTACTTTATTTATTTTTATTTTATTTATTTATTTGTTTTATTTATTTTGGAAATGGCAAATTTTCAACTAAACAAAAAATAAACAATATGCTTAGTTCAGGTATCATGATAATTTACAACAGTAGAATAATATTTTTAGATGTTTTAATTCTTTTCTGCTTGATAACATAGTTTTATAAGGTATTTTTATAAGGTAGTGATTTCAAAATGTTAAATATATAATTTTAGATATTTTGTATTTGGACTTATTTTTTTTTCTATTTTTTTCTTCTGTTTTTCTCTTTTAGGTCTTTTGTAGGTTAGTATTTCAAAACATGGCTTTATCAGTGGGTGTAGAGACCACGAATGGAGATGGAGCCGATCAAGTGGCTGATTTGATTTGTGTTATTGCTGCCATAGAGGATAGGGTGGTTTTTAAAAAAAATAGTTTTATTATATAGTGGCTTTGTTAAATTTTGTAAGCCACCTAGAGTCACTTATATATGAGATGGGTGGCTATATAAATTTATTTAATACATAAACATTTATTACAATCTTTTTTACAATCAAGATTGCAAAATCTTGAGACATAATGTAGTATTATATTAACATCGTTGACATTTATGGGTTTTCTCATTAATTACTTATTAATCTTTAAATGATATTCCAAAAGGATGCCAGTAATTCTCAAGACCAGCTCATATGAGTCAATTAGCCCTCAATATTGTTATACCTCAAACTAAGAAAAGCTGATATTCACTATATTATTTGTGGAATTCAATAAACTCAAAATACAATTTTTGATAAATCCATTTCAAATCTGTCAATACCAATTTAAGGTATTCTTAAGAACTTACAGACATTGATATAGCATTAACAGATATCGCAGTTCTTTGATTATAAAATACATAAAGGATTTACTTTGAAGTTACTGGAGAGACTATTGTATACTTTCAATTTCTTGCCTTTATTAATTTTTCTTATTAAAAAAGGAAATTTGGGCACAGGAAAATGAATGAAGCCATTAGACTCTGTCACCACCCAAATTTTAGACATGGATCTTTTCCAAAATACATTTAGGAATACATTTAGTAATTCTGATTGATAGCTGCAGCATCAATCAAGGTACATAGACTTATGCTTTCAAAGGAATTTCCTTAAATCAAACGAAGTATTACTGCACTTACTGCCCACACGTTCCCCACTCCAGCTGAACTTCTCAAGGTCGTCATCATCATCATCATCTATAATATCTGGAAGGTTTTTGACTGTTCTCCTGGATTCTTTCAACTAGGAATAAAAACAATGTTAGGATGAAGTCTGGATTATTATACTTTGTGTTCTGATTAGAGTTGGAGCATTTAGTGGAACTGCTATATTTTCTATTGTGTGGGACCACTGTAAGATAGTTCATCTCTTTAGACAAACCCCAGATTTTCTTAGATATGCAATCCCTATTGACTTGGGCTACAACCATTCTTCTCAACGAAACAAATATTAGTTCTGTCATAACTCCATAGGTTAGATCAGTACTTCTAAATTTCTTGAAATGTGCACTATTATAAATTCTTATTAAACCTGAAACCTGAGCATTTCTTCCAGTTTCCCATGATTAAGTTGAATAAAGACCACAATGTTTTCCTTCTATAGAATAACCACTCCTTTCCTTTCCTTATATCAGGCTGCTTTCAATGGTCCTGCAGCCAATGCACTCTGAAGCACTTCTTCTGAATCATTTGCAAAATTTGCACAGCCTTACTAAATTAGAATTAGGACTGGTAGAACTGGAACAGGATTATACTTTGTTGCAGGGTTGATACATTTTTAAACTGGTGGCCCTGTTATTAGATTCCCAACCAGGATCCTCCTCCATCATTGGCAGTTAAAAATAATATGTTATAGCACATAATCCTCACTTTTCTGAAGAGGAAAGTCTTAGCAAAGGTAGTTTCCTAGGAGACCAGATTTTAAAGATGCCTCCTTACTGAAGAAGAATCAAGCGCTATCTCCTGAGATGGAACAGAACTATTTGAAAATACTTCATGGGCTCAATGCTGTCCCAGCCATCTTCATTAAAGAGTTGCTATCATATGTAAACCAGATTCTTTCCTATATAATATCCATAAACTCCGTAACTTTTCAGTTCAATAGCTTTAGCCCTTCCTCAATCATACACACCAGGAAACACTAACTTTTGTCACTCTGTTGAGACACCAAATCAGAATGTATTCTGCATGCATCACATCTTTTTAAAGGTTCATTCATGCTTACATTCTCATCTGCAAACATTTCAGTGAACTTATAGAAATGCATCTGTTAGACCTAAATGCCCATTTTGTGCAAAATGGCAAATGGATTTGTCTGTTGCATTTGAAATCCCTCAAATCAGATCCAGTAAATAATGGGTTTGCTGTACATATTCACAGAAAAATACTTTCATGTGGAATAGAAATCTAAAACTATGGAAAAACAAATGCATTTTCATGCACATATTCTCTTTTGTCAGATATATATTTATAATATATATATAAAAATCATAATAAAAACTACTTTTTAACAAAGAAAGGAAATTCAGTTCTGCATCATGTATTGCAAAAATTATACACATCCAAACAAGCTTCCAATTTATATCAAAATCTGCAAAGTTATCCCTAAATTTCTTTAAAGCAAATATAAAATACAAATACTAATTCTGTATGCAGATTTCTACGTTCTGCAAAAATTCTGGCAAAAGCATGAAAATGCTTTTGCCTGAATTGTAAGGCTCTTTGACCATTTTTTCATGAGAAAAACTATACCTGAAGTAGTTCATCGTCTTCATCGTCAAAAGTAAAGGCCTTACATTTGGAACTGTTCCAATATTCTTCTTCATCAACCTTCACCTTGTTCATCTGCAAAATAAAAATTATCTTTTCGACTGCAATTGCAATGTACATATCTAGAGTACAGCATTATTTACTATAGCCAAATTAAAGAGAGAAGAAAAGGACCTGTATGCTGGATATTCTCAAAACTATAATGCATAGCCACTGAAACAAAAGTATCAATCTAACTAGTACCTATGAATAACATACTATGAGGCAGATCTAAGAAAAAAGTGACAGAATATCTTTCGATTGACATTGCTCCTATCCTATTCTACTGACATTGCTCCATTGCCATTTTGATGTATCACTTGTCAATACATCCTGAACAATATTTTACATATCTACACATGTAGGTAAAGGTAAAGGTTCCCCTCGCACATACGTGCTAGTTGTTTCCGGCTCTAGGGGGCAGTGCTTATCTCTGTTACAAAGCCGAAGAACCAGTGCTGTCCAAAGACGTCTCTGTGGTCATGTGGCCGGCATGACTAAAAGCCGAAGGCACACAGAATGCTGTTACCTTCCCACCAAAGTGGTCCCTATTTTTCTACTTGCATTTTTACATGCTTTTGAACTACTAGGTTGGCAGAAGCTGGGACAAGTAACAGACAAGTAATCATTATGCAGTGCTAGGGATTAGAACCACCAAACTGCTGACCTTTCTGACCGACAAGCTCAGTGTCTTAGCCACTGAGCTTTACAGAACTTCTATTCCCACACATGAAATACCAGTTGCCAAAGGTATCCCAATACAGTCTCCCCATAGGATGTCAGCTCTCGTACCAAGATAAAAACCAAAGTCAAAACTATCAAAATTATATTTCTCAGAATACTTTCATATTCCCTTTTAAATAAATATTTAATGAAACATAGTTCAACTGAAATGAACATAGCTATTAAATTGGTGCCACACGTTTCCCTCATTAGTTTTAAAAGATTCACTGGATTTGTAGCATAAGAGTTGTTACTAACAAATACATTTTCTGAATACCATCTGCTAAGTAAGTAAATAAGTGTAGAACAAATTAGCACTCCAATTTTAAAGGGGTTGTTTTATTGCAGATTTAGTCACTTATCTGGAGCCAATTGCCCTCACATGAAAAATTGACTTATGTACTGTTCTGAGGTAACTTTACACCTATACCTTTGCAGCAGTTCAACTAGATTTCATACATGTACACTTGTCTATGTGTGTGATGAATTGGACCAAAAAAGTTACATCCAGGGAATATTTCACTCTAAATATCAATTAACTTTGGGCTTATGAAGGAATGAATGTGCATTACTTTAATTCGCTTGAGGCAAAACACAGCTGCAAATAAATTTGTACTGGATTTATTCCTGACGTTTAATCCATTCACCTTCTCCTCGTTAGGATTTTGGAAGGAAGGCCCACGTTTTCTTTCATCTTCACCCTCAACTATAATCTTAATATTTTAACAGCATGGGAGAGGAGGGGGACAAAATTGCATTTGCCTGCGTTTTTCCCTTTTCTCCTCTGACTGTCCCAAGCTTAAATGAGAGAGAGAGAGAGAGAGAGAATGTGTGTGTGTGTGTGTTCTCCACCTACGCGAATTACAGCGGCGACTTCCCTCCCGGAATCCAGACCAGCCAGAGGCACCTTTTACATTCTCTACCCTAAACTGATGGGAGGAAGCGGTACCCCTCCAACCTAGAAAGTAATGACGCCCCCAAAAGAAACAAGCGGACCCAGATACCCTCGAAAAAGCAGGCCAGACCACGAGAAACGAGAACGAGTGAACCGGCCAAGTCTCCGATCATGCGGGGTGGCGGTCCATGTTCAATAGCGAATCCGCCCTTTTCCCGGCGGAACGACTCGGTTGGGTCCCCGGCTCTCGGATACCGCCGTAGCCAGGGAGAGCAGGCTGCCTCCGAAAAGCATCACGGGAATGATGTTTTCCAAGGTGTAGCCTCGCCTTTGATATATCAAGAGGTTATTGCTGCTGAAGGAAACTACAAATCCCAGCACGTCCCCGTGTCTTGGTTTCCCGGGACGAAATGTCTTAAAAATCGAACTACAAGTTGAAATATAACTTCCATGGAGCCATACTTCCTTTTCCGCTTCCTGCTTTACTTCGCTTCCCTGATTACGGCATCACGGAGGAGTCAATATTCTTCCGCTGAGCGCCGCTGCAGTCAACTAGCTAAAGAGCTGAGCAGCGTCAGAGATCAAGACACTCCTGATTAGCGGAACCATACATAGCTGAGAGCATGGAGATACAGCAAGGACAAACCTATGGAGAATAATGAAGAGTGTGCACAAAGGACTGGATTTTGTGTAAAAAAAAATAACTCTGGGCTTATGAATGAATGAATGAATGTGTATTACTTTAATTCGCTTGAGTCAAAACCCGTACGTGATCTATAGCCACAAAAATGATATACGTAACAGAGCTTTGAAAAACGTGTACTTCAGGATGGACCCATCGGGGGCATCATATTTACAAAAGCCTTATAGGCAAAAAAGGATTTTGCTTCAATGCGTGTCACCTTTACATTCCTGTTAGCCAAAGAATAATGCATGTGAAAGTCAACTAGATGGCCATGCAATTTTGCTTTTAGGGGTGTGGGAGTCTTGAAACAGAACTGGTATCAGAAAATCATTTTCTTGTCCTAATAGTGACCATCCAAAGTTACAACAGCACTGTAAAAAGTGACTTGCGATCATTACAGCGTTCCTCATGGTCACGTGATTTACATTCAGATGCTTGACAACTGACTCACATTTATGACTGTCGCAGTGTTGTGGGGTCAAGTGACGTTTTACGACCTTCTGATAAGCAAAGTCAATGGGGAAATCAGATTCACTTTTATTAATTTAGCAACTGCAGTGATTCACTTTAGGTATGTGGGAAGTCAAGTCATAAAACGGGGCAAAACCCAACAAATTTCTCACTTAGCAACATAAATTTGGGGCTCAATTGTGATCGTAAGTTGAGGACTATCTGTATCTCACTCACAGGCTGCCTTTCAAGAGAGTTTCTACGCTATCCTGCACCCTTCTTTTGGTCGCGGCAGCTGTTATGGTGGAGACTCGCCAGACTTTAAGCTTAGCTTCCACCACCCACACCCCGCACGCCCCAACCCCCACCCCGGAGATCCGCTCAGGTCGACCAGGTGCTACCACCCGATTCAGCTAAGCAGCCCGAAAAAGACAGGGAGAAAGCGGTTCCCGCGCGATCTGTCGGTTCAATGGAGCAGAGTTCTTGCACCACGGAGAAGCCCCAACCAAACGGCACTCGGGGAACAAACACCGAGAGCAGCGGCGCATCTAATTTTTTATTTATTTTTATTTGTCAATTGCTTACAACATAATAGGTATAAGTGAAAACATAGTTATGAATACATGAATACATATAAGAAAAATAAAAAATATATACATAAAAGAAACGACAGGGACGGTAGGCACGTTCGTGCGCTTATGCGCACCCCCTACAGACCTCTTAGGAAAGGGGTGAGGTCAATAGTAGACAGTCTAAGGTTAAAGTTTTGGGGGTTTGGGGAAAAAAAGACAGAATCAGGTAGAGTATTCCAGACATTGACCACTCTGTTGCTGAAGTCGTATTTCCTGCAATCAAGTTTGGTGCGATAAACCTTGAGTTTGGATCAATTGTTTGCTCTTATTGTTTTCCCAGCGCATTAAAACACACACACACCCCGACCTCCGATGCTTCTTTCTCTCCTACGCCCCCTCCGTTTCTATGCCACCCCTATGGAGGTGAGAGGAGAGGAGGAAGCTCGGCCGGTGACGGAAGTTAGAAGGCGGCGGCCGCTCTCTCTCCCACGCCCCCTCCGTTTCTATGGCACTTCTATGGAGGGGAGGGGAGGGGAGAGGAGGAGGGACGGAAGGAAACTCGGCCGGTGACGGAAGTCGGGAGGCGGCGCGGTACCGGCGCTTCTAGTAGCTTCCAGAGAGGCGAAGAGGAGGAGCAGGCAGCGATCGGCTTGGACGGGAGCGGACGCGGCGGGAGCTGCTTCTTCGGGGCGCCGATGGCCAAGTGGGGAGAAGGGGACCCGCGCTGGATCGTGGAGCAGCGCGCCGATGCAACCAACGTCAATAACTGGCACTGGTGGGTGTGTGTGAGAGAGAGAGAGAGAGGACGCTGTGGGGCAGCCCCGTTCATTTCTGCTCGGCCGGCCGCTTCGCCCAAGATTCCTCGGCGTCTCTCTCTCTGCCTGGTGTTTTTTCCGCAGGGACCTTGGCCGGGATCCACGGGGACTTCTTCCCAAGGACGGGCACAATTTGCATGGGCTTGTGCCCGGCGTCTCCAACCTTGGCCACTTTAAGCCTGGCGAACTTCAACTCCCCGAATTCCCCAGCCAGCAAAGCTAACAACAAATCAAGGACAATCCTGTATTCTGACAGATTTGCTCACTTGCTAGCCAGAAAGATTGTATTACATGGATGGAGAGAAACTATGCTCTCTATAGTACGTGAGTTTCAGGTTATCTAGGGAAGCAGTTTGAGAGCAAGGAAAGCATATTAATATGACATGACTTACAAAATGTAGAAAATGAAGAATTCTGGTTACTGCAGAAGCAGAAGAGCAGTTCATTAGGGGATAGGCACTTTGTGCCTTTCTACCTTAGCACGTTGATGTATTTGTAGGAAAAGAATCTCCTTCCTAGATTATACTCATCTAGTACAATATTCTGTGACCAGAAATTGCTGGGTTATACAAATCAAATTAATTTTATTGCAGATTAATCCATTGTTGATTGGACAATCTCCATAACTACGCAGCACCTCTTTGTACAATTATAGTCTATGTGCCAGGTTCCAGTAACAAAAAGAACAACTGTTATCATCATACTGTAAGTTTTGTCAAGAGCTACTTTTGGTGACAGAATATTGAATTATATGAATCTTGGATTAATTTTGATCTGGTTTAAGAAGGACATTCTTTTATTTCTGAAAATAAAAATGCTTGAAAATTCTATGGATATAGAATAGTTATTCACAATCAGTTGGCCTTGCATGTTGATTTTCACGTCAGAAATTCAGGTTTTGATCTTTTCTTAGAAGAGGTAGAAGCACGAAGCAAAACCTGACTGATCTTAGAAAAAGCTAGGCCATATTTATACTTGAAAGATAGTCCCTAAGGAAATCTCATAAACTCTAGAAAAAGTTATTGGCAAATTCCTCATTGTTGCCAAGGAAACAATGTTGGAGGTGTCCATGAGTCACTAGGAGTTAAGCTCAAGTGAGATTTTATGTTTACCTGCTCACGTTGTAATCAAAATAATGACTATGTAAATTTGGCTCATTTAGCTCTTCTTACTAGTGGAAAAGGATAAATTATGAAAAAGTTTACTTATAATAATATGTGAACCAAGAGTTCTAGCTTTTTCCCATCTTAGCAAGCAAGAGGCAAAAGTTGTGTTATTTCTGGCTTTCAGTTACTTCTGGTTTGGAGAAGACAGAATTGGTTTCTGGTTCACAATATACAATAAACTTCAGAAGAGTTTCTGCAGTTTATTTAATGTCCCTGCTATTAGAAGAGAGCCACATCTTTGAACATTATGTACTATGAGACAGAATTTTTGGAAAGCCCTTATTGTGACTTACAGCACTTCCAACATATAGTGAAAAATGAATTTTGAATAAGTTGGCAGATTCAGATAATTGTCTGACTATTGGCCCAAAACAAAATGTGCCATATTTTTTAAGGGTTGACATGCATTAAATTACTCGGGTAAAAATACTTTTTGCAATTTAAAGAGACTATTATGTTATACACTATTTAGGGACAGCAATAGTTATCAAATCAAGGTAGGTTCCATGCAAGCATGGTTACAGATGCTGGTTGCTTCTTGCCCCTGGGAACTTCAGTCAGTCCTGTTGGCTTAGCACATTAAATGCAGACTATAGTCCATCTCTGGATAACTAGAAATGTGAGCACTACTAGTATATCATGAGGGAATTGTGGTTATTAGACTGCAGGATACCTCACAAAAAGGAAAGACTGAAGCAACTATATTAAATAAAGTTATAGCACAGGAAATAGTAAGAGGTCCTGTAGCTTTTGAACCTAATTGCCAGATCAGTCCCAAGGAAAACAAGCGTAGAACCATTGAGGTTGTCAGCTGTTTTTTCCATCTTTTCCTGCCTCATATTAAGCTGAGGAAGAAAGATAATGTAAGTCAACCAGTAGCAAAATTTGCAGAGGTGAACAAATTACATACTCTTGGTACAATTCAATGTAAAATACTCAACACCGCATGTTTAAACACTTGAAGGACTTTATTATATATGAGCATAAGTGCAAAGTGTGTGCTATTGCACTTTTTCATTTTTCTCCGCTCTTAGGACTGAAAGAGATGCATCTAGCTGGTCTTCAGAGAAGCTGAAAACACTTTTTCTGACTGTTAGAGTTGAGAATGAAGAGGGGACTTGTGAAGTGACAGAAGTGAGCAAATTAGATGGGGAAGCCTCTATCAACAACCGCAAAGGAAAACTGATTTTCTTTTATGAATGGAACATTAAATTGTCTTGGAAAGGTGAGTTACTATTTTATTGTTATACAAGAAGACAAACGTTGAATACTAGATATCACAAAATCAGAATCTCTGAAGTGTTTTCAAAGAAATACAAATGGGATTGAAGCATTTATATTCCATTTCTAGAATGCCAAAACTTGTCAAAATTTGTTGGGAAAGTGACATTGAACCAAGGTTTTAATTTAAACTATTTCTGTTTTATAGGCACCTCAAAAACAGGTGTAATATATAAAGGTCATGTGGAGATTCCCAATCTTTCAGATGAAAATGACATGGATGACATTGAGGTAAACCTGATAGTTCTCAGAGCTATTTCATTGGAAAGGAACCACAGATCTCATTACTGTTGTTTTTGGAGGATTGTGGTTCCCCTTTATTTCTCTGCTTGATTCTCTCTCTGTGTGTCTCTCTCTGTGGGTGGGATATCATAAATTGCCCCATAAAGAGGTGTGCTTAAAATAGGAAATATATTTTGTTCTGCACTCGGAACAACCCATTGCATTCTGGAAGTTTTGTCAAACTGTTTTGGATTGGCCCACAATTTGACAGAAACAAAACTTGGAATGTTACCTACTTTGTTGTAGGTTTCAGCTAAAACAACATCTGGAGGGATTCCAGACTGGTTGTACAGGGCAGGGCTGTACAATGGATCACCTTCTTTGTCCCCTCAGCAACTCACAGAAGAGTTTATCCCTCCTCCCCAAACTTTCCTTTGCTTTTCTTTCCTTCAGCTACCACTGTCAATATACTTAGCTCTTTTCTGTTCTTAATGCCTTCTGTCTTAAAACACATTGATCTGAACTATACCTGGAACAAAAGCATTTCATATTCTGTGCAGAAGAAAACTTCAAAAACGCAGAGTTTCTGTTTGGGCCCAGACCTCCTAAAGGAGCAATCATTTGCTCAGGGTGATTCCTATATGGCACAGGTGTCAAACTCAATTGGCTTTCCAGAGCTGGGGTGGGCGTGGCCGGTTCATGGGCCACCAGTTTGACACCCATGATGTATGGAATGGTTTACACATCCTTATTGCTTCCGATATACAAAAGCATAAACTATTTTGATATTTTCTGACAAAATGATTTTACAAAGGAGTATAATATGATATATATGATAAAAGCAGACATGTTCTATTGAGACAATATATCTTTTTTTTTTTGCTATTCTTAGATCAATGTTGGTCTTGCAAAAGATGAACCAGATACAAACCTGCTATACTTGATGAAGCAAGAAGGTGCAAAGCAGATCAGCAACGCTATGGAAACTTACATCAGCACTCTTAAAACAGGTACAGATTGACACAAAAGGGGCTTTATGCTGAACTGTTAGCTTTTAAAAGGAAAAGAAGAATGGATATAGAAACAAAATGTTTTTTATATTAAATCATAAGAGAATTTGAGATTATATTCATAGAGTATCCTTTATAGCTTTTAGAAACTGAAAAAGTAAATAATTGAAGTTGTGATCTCTGGATACAAAAGGTGGCCTATCCCAGTTAGACACAGTGTAATAGTCCCAGTGGCTCTACAGATATTCCTAAATTGGCTTTTTGGAGATCAGGTTTGCGTGTATTTGTTTTTAAGTTCTTGTAGAGTAGTTTTCTGAACGTCGGTTCTTAATATTTTTCAGAATTTACCCAAGGCATGATTCTGCCTACACTAAATGGTGAACAGTCAGAGTCACAGAATCATCCTGTGCCTAAAGCAGTAAAGCACAAGGTAAGCTTTAGAGTACCCAGTTTGAAATCATAGGTGTTTAGAAAGCCTAAGCAAAATGGTTTTAAAGGATTCTTTTAATTGGTGCCTATTCTTAAATGGCACTCAAAAGACAGGATTTTTTTACATTACATATTAAATGGTGTATTGTGAAGTTGCCTCGAGTTTTAAAGATTGCATTCTGGAATATATATACTATATATTCTGTGACATTAATTATTCAAATTACGTAGCTAATGCAAAAGGTGGGCTGGTTTGTATGCTATCATACAGTCTATAGCTTTCTATGTGGGACTGGTGGGTTCCAGACAGAAGCAAAATTAGTTGCAGGTTCATGTCTTTGCTGCCACCACAGTTGTAAGTAACACAGCAATTATTTTTATCCGGAGAAATTTTGGGATGACCGTAGCTCAGAAGTGACTTATGAGGCATTTTAATTGTGTGGTGCGTGATACTGTTCTAGATTAATGAACAAGTTGCTGGCAACAGTTCTGCATCTAAATCGGTTGGAGTTAAGATTCCTACCTGCAAGATAAATTTGAAGGATATTTTCCTGACATCCCCAGAGGATCTCTACAGAGTATTCATTACCCAAGAGGTAGGTTAATAATGAACTTCCGACAGATGTTCTGTGCCATTTCTTGCCCAATATATAGGCTTTTTAGTATGGTTTGCCATCAATCTCCTTCCCCTCCTTGGGTATCCTACTTACTGTTACCCTCGGAGAGCATTGATCAACTTGATAGAGCAGAAATGCCTTCGGAATATTCCAAGGAAAACAACCACTTTATGTCTTCTCAGCGTTACATTGTCTAAGAAGAAAAGATCCTGATTTCCAACATCCTTTCCGATTTGAAAATACCATGAGAAATGAGAGGTGCTACTATTTCATCATCCATGAAACTGCTCTAATCTTCTTTAAAGGAATCAGTGAGAGTCAGTAGATGAGTCCTTACCTGGAAGCTAGAAAATCTAATAATAGACTGGATTTTATTTTTGTAGATGGTACAAGCTTTTACTCACTCATCTGCTGTTGTGGAGGCCGATAAAGGAGGAAAGTTCCAACTGTTAAATGGGATCGTCACTGGCGAGTTCATTGAACTAGTAAGTTCACTTTGCATGTTATTTGGAAGTTGGACAGTGCCTTTCCTTTGGACAATGATCTTCTTGACCACATGATCTCACCAAGTGTTGTAAATTGTATGAAAAAAGGCTAGTGCACATATGTCAAATAATTAGGTAAAGATTTCCCTGTCCTGTGCCTTAGAGTGTCTTAACTCTAGGGCACAGTGCTCATCTCTGTTTCTTGGATGAGGGAGACAGCCTTTTCCAAAGACATTTTTCGTGGTCATATGGCCAGCATGGAATGCTAATACCCTCCCACCAAAATGGCATCTGTTAATCTACTGGCATTTGCACGCTTAGGTGGGCAGGAGCTGAGCAAAGTAATGGGAGGTCACACTTGTGTGGAACTCAAATCTTGAACCCAAGCCTGTCAGCAGCTGACAAACTCTGTGCTTTAATTGCTGAGCCATTGTGTCCCTTTTGAAATAATCAGCATATCATAATTGCAAATATTGTATTTGACAGCCTACAAAAGGACTATACAAGATTAGCTGGAAGCAAGGTGGAGAAAATGGGAAGGGGAATCAACAACATTTTACAATCAGTGAGAAATGTAATACATTCATATTTGTGAGAGATAGGGAATTGAAACAAGTAATTTTGAGATGAGATTAATGGGGTATATACTGCACAGAATGGAGTAAAAAGTAAAACTAGGATGTGGCCTGAAAGCTTCTGGTCATAGCAAAAGAGAAGAAAAACTTTTTAAAGCAAAAAATGGCAACAAGAGATTTAAAAGATGAAACAGTATATTCACAAACGGTATTCATCAATGTTTAAGAGATAGTACTTGAACCCACTGAAGGGCACACTTATCTTGGAATAAAAAGCAAAGAGAGAAGTGGGTTGTTTTTTTGTTTTTTTGTTTTTGAAAGAAAGGGGTAAATAGATTTCAAGTTGAGGGGAAGAAGAGTACCTATCTGGGCAGTGCTGGACTGCTTCATTTTGGTTGCTGGTGTATACAAGAAGATGCAGGATCCCAGGTGAAATAGGGAGTATTTGGAAAGGGACATTATGCTGAATTAAAGGGAACAAGCCTGAGAAAAATGGAAGAAGTCAGCCTCCATTGAAAGAGTAAGAAAAGAGTACAGGTGAAGATAAAATGGGGAAAGGGAAGGTGGCAGAAACTAATAAGAGAACATTCGGGAGAAACTGAGAAAGGGTTTTTCCAAGTGGCTTTCTTTCTGGCTTGCAAAGAAGTCGATTGCCAATTTTGATGTCTTCAAAGGGATTAACTGAAAATTTATGGCTCAGAGCCATTCTGATGTAGCTGTTTTTTTCAGGGTTTTCTCTGAGTCCAACTATCTTTGCCTACCCTTGGAGTCATGGGGCATGTGCTTTTATTAAGGAGTGCAAAGCAAGGGGTTTCAAATCAGGTGCAGCTTTACTTTGCTGAGCAATTTGAGAGGGATGCTTTTCCCTTTCTAAGAGAAATGCTCTGCTTCAGTACTGCGTGCGCCCAGCAATTAAAGTACTTCAGAGGCACTATAGCAGGACCAGATATTTGATTTTTACCTAAGTAACACCGGCTTTCCGATCAAGTCTCCATTTTGGGATATCCACATGAATATTTCCTTGGTAAATAAATTCTCTTTCTTTTTTAGGTTTCTGCAAAGCAGATTGCTATGAAATGGAGATTTAAGTCCTGGCCAGAGGGTAAGTTATTTGGCTGCAAATATAGCAAAAGATGTCTAAGTGGAGATGATGAGATGGAGATAAAGCTATTCTGAATGCAGATAGCCAAAATAGTGCCAGCCTCATAGAGCTTGGTTTAGATAAATGCCTTGTTCCATTCCTAGGTCAGCTGCAGCTGGAAATCTCTCTCATCATAATGAAATATTGACTGCTGTAAGGTCTAAGCATTTCACAAGCTTTTTAAAGGAATTTTTTCGGAGGTAGACTTTTACGACTGTCACCAAATCAGTGTGTCATTAGTTTTCATCGATGTCCCACGATAATGCTATGTGACTGATTGCGAAATTTATTTGGCTCTCTTAGGACACTTTGCAACTATCGTATTGAGCTTCATCGACAAGGGTAATGAAACAGAAGTCTGTCTAGAAGGGAAGGGCATCCCAGCCACTGAAGAAGAGAGAACAAAAGAGGGCTGGCAACGTTATTATTTTGAGGGTATTAAACAGACGTTCGGCTATGGAGCCCGATTGTTTTAATGTTGGCTACCGTGGAGTTTCTTCCCAAAGATTCTGCCATGTGAACTGATTCACCTCTTGTGTGTTCTTTCTTATCCTCTGTTTCACTATTGTGACAAGCAGGATGGCCCCGAAGGCCACTGAGCAGCACCAATTCCAACCCTTCCCTGCCTGTGCAGGTCTTCTATTTCATGGGTTTCAAAGGTGGGATTCTCATAAATGTACATATACCTTGTATTGCTAAATAAACTTAACTTAAAGAAGAGGTACCAGCTCTCTTATCTGAGTAAAGAAATCAAAAGAGCTTTTAAGCAAAGGGCAGAAGAGTTCCGACTCTTCATGGATAGAGATCTTAATTCAAAAGGTATCTGAAACTTGTGGGAATTTAACTAATGGGAACATAACCATTATATTTAAAATGCATCATTATGTAAGGACAACTTTTTATTTTTACTTTTCAAAAATTAACATATTCTAAACTCTGTTGGTGAAATTTCATGCCTAGCAGTTGATCTGCTGTCGTAGTCACATTATCTTTCAATCAGCCTATTCTTGGAGAGTAGATGTTTATAATGGAAAAAGCACTTCCCCAAAAAATTCCATAATAGCATTTCAGGAATGTTGGAATCCAGAACAAAGACTGTATAAATCAGAAGAGAGAGCACATTGCCTAAAATCAGCATTCAGTTGAGAGTACAATTGTATTCCAAGAAGAGTTTTTCAGAAGCAAATTTCACTTTCTTTGTTCAGAATATATTTCAACATTACAATGAGACCAGTAAGCATATCATAGCACATTAATTACACCTATAAATCTGAGGTTCCTTCAGGAAAATTGAGTTCTTGCTTGTGGGTAGGGCTACTAGTAGTTGTACATATAAAATATAAAAGTTGATTGCTTCATTTATGTTTTTTGGGTGAGAGATTAGAAAGGAAAAAGAGAAACCGTAATATTGCTTTCTATGCATTCAAGAGTCTGGAATAACTTAGTTTTTTATTTGATATTTTCTTTTTAATTTTTATTAAGTAAACATTAAAAACAACTGAACACAGTGTTACTTTCTTGGCATTCATTTTTGCCATACATACTATAATATAGAAATAGATATAACAGTTAATATTTCCTTTTTTCGAATGTTAATTTAACGCTGGTTACATATGCATTTCTATTTACATTGATACACATTTAGATACATATTTACAACCTAGCTTCTTTTCCACCTCCTTTTTCCCTTTATAGTCTTTATATTCATATCATATTTGTCCATTATCTTTCATTTTCTTTAGCCTACAAAACTTTAACTTTCATTTCTATAAAGCATCAACAATTTTTTCTTTTCCTCGACTCCAACCATTTTGCTCCAGTATTTGGTCTTTTCTTGAACTTGCTCTGTGATAGATAGATAGAAAATGCAAACTTGGCTTTTCTTTTAATTTTATTTGTTTATGTGAGGCAAGTTTGATCCTAAATTTAAGAATCCAAATATATAAACCAATATAGCTAAACACGGTTAAGGAAAGTATGACATAGCCAAACACTGATAAGGAAAGTATGTGTCATTTAAAAGTAAGCTGTTGCTTTTGAATTTTCATGCAAGATGTCTCGTAACTTCAAAGTTCCTCATTATTTCTCTATTAATCTTTCTGTTTTGATTTTGAAAATGATACTTTGATTTGTATAAAGTGTTGGTCCTGATAGAAAACAGCAGTTGGCCTCAAACAGTTTTAAGATTTTGGATGACCACATGATGGCAGCAAGGCCTAATATTAGAGGTTGAATTTATAATAATGTGTGTTTAATGCTGTCAGCTTCTTGAAACAGCTGCAGTGGGTCTAGTTTTGCTTATATTCTTACATTTTGGAAGAACAAATCAGTGATGTAAAAAAAAGGAGAGCGCAGGGTTTTAAAAGTTCAAAATCACTATCTGGAAAATTAATTTGCAGCCATTAGATAGACACCTCATTTGCAATTCTGCTGCCAGTTGATATCACTTCCCAGGTGTAAATCCAATGCATATGAATAACATGACAGATGGCTTTGTGTAATTACTGCAGTGGATTCATATGAAGACTTGTAGTTAAGGTCTCTGTACTGAAGCTGCAATGTCTGTTTAACAGAAAATATTTTTTTCAGAGTGTATTAAGACTTATACAGGTTTAATTTTTGTTCCAGGATTTGGAATGGGGGATTTTACACCTCAAAGTAATGTATATGCCCCAAAGTCGGTAGCTGTTGAGAAATTCACTCAGAACAAGAATGAATCGTGGAATTGGGGATAATTTGTGAGGGATAGGTAAAACCAAGGAGAAATGTGCTATCTCTAATACTTGCTTAAAACGAGCAAGACTTGTTCATAAAGGTACATTCACTTGAAGTATTAATACAGGTTGACAAGAGGTTTTCCAATCAATTGCACCCTTGTCACCCCCTAAAGTGATGAAAGAATTTGTGCAAACCTCAGTTAAATGACTGATTGCATTGCAGTCAGGTTTGGGAAAGAAAGAACCTAACAATTAAATTAGACAACATTTTCATTATACTTTTGCTTTTATCTACATTATTGTACAATTGGTCATCATCAGTTTTCCTCTTCCCACCCAACAAAATCATCTTCATTTTGTATTGTTAGATATTGAAAATAAGACAAAAAATATTGGTATTTGCTCACCTGTATACTTCTACAATCTGCCCCACTCCAGTGTTACTGGGATTGGTGGATTATTTTGACAGAAGGGAAGACATGATAGGGGGGTTTAGTCATCTCTAAACTCACTTACCTTAACTTTATGAGTCCACTGTGTGCTTGCCCAAGCGTAGTAGGAGTGCAGGCAGTACTTAGTCCAAGCTTTGCTTCCTGCGTTGCTTGATTAGGTTTACAAATGTTTTGCAACCACTAGGGAGTTGCTGCTCAGAGTTTTGGGAAGCCTGCGTTAAGTTTCCCTTCAGAGGTTTTGCTGAATTTGGACACAAAAGTTAATCTAGGAAAAATATAGAAAAGCTAACAGCCTGTAAGCACTTGATAAATAAAGTGCCCTAGAAACCCATCATGTCACTTGAGAATATTTTAAGCCGTTTTATTTCTGTATAGCCAATGAGGCACCCTGTGGGATCATAAAACAAATGCTGTGGTCTGCTGTATTTGTAGATACAGTATGCAAATGCTACAAAGAAAGCCTCTCCAGACAGCCTTCCCAGTAAATGGGAAAGGGGTGAGTGGGTGATCACCCTCTTAAAAAGGGTGGGGTAGCATATATTGCCCTGACCATTCAACTAACCCTCCCTGTTATTTGGCCAATTTGAAGCTTCCAGAAGGAATATAGCTGTCATTATTAGGTTTTTGAAAAGGCCAGAAAGCTGTTGGGGTTCCTTTACTCAAATTTCAGAGGTAAAAAGGCACAGGCTGGGGTGGGGTGATCTGAAATCTGTCTTAGGAAACAAATTCCAAATTCAGGAAATAAATTATGTTCTGAATACAGCTGTGCTGTCTTCCATTCTGATTTTCTAAATATGAAGGAGCGGGAGGGCAGAAAACAGAAAACAAAGATGTTTCGAGGCAGCTGTCATTCAGCCAACTCGCCAGCCAAATCAGAGCAAATGAATCAATACAAAAAGTTTTGCTTAACCCACAGTGAAGTTACAGCAGCTCTAATGTGCACCGGGAAACAACCGTAGTCTTTATGCAAGGCTATCATTATGGTTTGTTTCCCCATGCAAGGTGTAAACCCCGTCATTGCCTTTTCTCCAGTGACTAGAGAGGATGGTGTTTGATTTCCATGTACGAGGTACAATGACAATAAAGTAAACTAAACTAGTTTCTTACTATCGATTTGTCTTTTTAAGTTGATTCACGTTCTCTCTGATCTCCAACTTTATTTGTGTACATGGTAGAGCTGTATCAATTTTCTAAGGCAGAAATACAGGTGACAATACTGCATTTCTTTATATTGATACTGCAATATGGTTTGAGTGTTTAGTTGACTAACCATTTCTTTTGGATTTATTTTTTCTACCAATGACACAACAAGGGCAAGACTGCTTTGGAACTATAACAGGAGGGCATAGGGGACAGCTATAATATTTGGAGCTTTTAACAATCGGCTAGAAAGAAACTTAACAGCCTGGAAAAGATCCCATTACAGCCTTTCTGCAAAGACCTTCAGCTACATAATATACGTAAATCAACTGAAAGCCATTACCCTATATCTCTTGAGAAACGCCTGGTTTATAGACAAGGTTTGGGTTTCTTTTTGGGTCTGTCATCAAACTTTTCAATAGCACCTTGTTTAAATACACACCCTTTCCTAAGCAGCTGGATCTTGCTTTGTAGTCTTAGAGAGAACTTTGAAATCTGATGCTGGCTACATTTAGATGCTGGCTCACACTCTTTACTTGGTCCCAATCGGGAGTGCTTTGCATTCTTAGCTGAAGGCGCCCGGTGGGGCTGACCGACCCTCATTGACAGACTAAGCTTGGCTCAGCTTCAAATGCTTGTCCCTGTGCACGGCTGCAGTCCAGCTGTGAGAATAACCTGCTTAAAGACAAACTGGTGAGGAGTGTGGCTTTCATACAAGCCTGCAGCAAAAGGCCAGCTGGATTTCTGTAGCAAAACAAATAAAAGACTTTCCTAATACAAACTGTTTCCAGCTAAAAGCCACTGGCAATGCTCCATACATATACATACATCTATTTTTCTTTTATTGGCTTCTTGGGATATCATAACCATAAAACGTGCTAAGAAAAGGGACCATATGTGTCCATCTTTGATGATGGATATTATAGAATTCAGAGGCTTGCTGTTGTCCAACACAAGACTGACTGGGAATAGTAGTTGATAACAACACTATTGTGAACTCTATAAATGGTAGAACTGAGCAACCTTAGACCATATGTATCATTCTTGGGCACCCTGAAGCCCATCAACATCTTAAAAGGAATGAAAATTTCACCTGTGTCATTGTTCCATCAGTCTAATCGCTTCCCTCCCCAAAGTATTTAAAAAGTATCATTTTTGGTTGTCCACAATTATGCCAGAGAATTTCCAGTTTCCAATCTAAAACTGATTAACATTTTTCATTTTCAAGTGCAGAATAATGAGGCAGAAGCATACAGAGTGTAACAATAGAGTTTATTTGTAACAGAAGAACCTGAAATCTTCCTTCCCTTTTGGCATTTCATACATACAACCTCTGAGATCAAAGTCCCATTCAGTGTCCTGAATATCTCCATTCCTTAAGATATTAAGTATTACAAACAATAAATATAATACAAGAGAAAATCTGGGGATAGACTGACCCATAATTTTCATTCTACTGAACTGGGCTAGACAATTAGAATAAGATGCCCTTCTGTGGTTTTTGGATTACGACTCCTATCAATTCAGATAGAGGTTTTAATCCAGTAAACAGGATTGTGGGTGATTCTAATTCAGAAGGATCTTGAGGACTACTGATTTCTCATCCTGACATTGAGGGACTATATCTAAAAGACTCACTTCTCCACCAGGGAAAAATTGTGTTAAGAAAAGCTCAGAAAAAAGGACTGATCTCTATCTTAAGCTAAAACAGAAGCTTTAACTTCTGAAAGGAAACACTGGGGCGTTCCTTTACTTTGAGATTCATTCATTAAAATTAAAATGCAGACAGGCGAGCAAACAGTAGCACATTCTGGATCCTTAATGACCACGTTTATAAGATTCAGTTCCCTAAAGATGCATCATTTGGCAATGTATTGTCTCTGTCAAAATCAACTGAATGACCGAGCAACCTAAGAACCAAATAATGTCAATCACAAACACATGCAATTTGAAATAAAGTGCTTTTATCTATAGTCAGATAAAGATTTTCTCATAAATGCTATTAAACCTTTATTCAAAAGTATATTGAAATAACCAATAAAATTATGAAGGAACAATATACATACAATACTTTAAAAATTGCATAAATAGAAATGCACAGAATCTTAATTACCTGATATAAAAATAAAATTCATTCCATATCATTTTCTTGACCAAATGAAATTGTAAAGCTTTTCCAGAGTGTAAGGTGCTTTTGATAACCAGCAACATTGGATACACTAGAAGTAGATAGTCCCAACTCCTTCCAGGCAGTTGTGGTTCAGATTCCCACCCTTGCTCACAAGTTGTGAATTTCCTCATTGGACCTAGACTCCAGACAACCCTGTGCCTCACAGACAAGCATTGTTGGTAATGGATTTTTAATGTCAGGATGGGATATTGAGTTTTAGTAAGCAAATAGGCTTATTAATTTAAAGGATATTTAAATAGATTCCTTGGAAAAAATAAAACTAGGGACAAAGTTCTGACCAAGAAGAAAGGAAGTTAAACAAACCATTAAAAAAGTATGAAGAATTATGTTTGTTCAGGTCAACCCTAAAAGTATTCTGTCTGGAGGTAGTAAGCAGCTCAATAAACCCTACTGATAGCCCAAACCTCTTTAGATTCATTTAATTCCTTTTTAATACCCCAGAAACCTGACAGCCATCAGCCCTGAATGGATTCTCTAGTTTAAATATAGACTAACACCTAATCATGAGCCTCAACTGCAATATACCCAGTTTCAGATGCCCTGACAATTTCTTTATCTTGTTTTTGGTGTATGAATATATAGTCCTTAAATGAAGCAGTGGTGGCACCTCCCTTTGTAGGTATCCAGGGGCCACTGTAAGGTGGGTCAAATATTACTCTGTGGCACCTATTGTGTGAATTCAGGTGACAAATAGCAAAGATTAGTGTTACTTATTGCTCATTCCATGCTGCTGGGGGCATACCTCCATACTGCCTCTCTAGCCAGTCTTGTCTACTGCTATTCTACTCCTACTTCCCCAGAGAGTTGGATACAACAGTGATTAGATTTTAAGAAAAATATCCTAGGTATTCAAACAGCATGAAACAGGGTAATAGTGAAACATCTTAGGAAGCAGCCTGAAATAAGATTGTACGTACAACCAATTCTTCCCTGCTCTGCCTATGGAACTACTAGAGGAGGGAAGAATCTGCAGGCAAGCATGTATAGGAAGAAAGGAAAAGGAAATAATTCAGAAGGAAAAGTGCTGCTTGTGATTCAGTTCTGTAGGTTTTTAATGTTTTCTATTCAGCTCATGCTATAAGAAAATAAAGTGAAAGAAGGGAAGAATTCCACAGATGATAGATAGAATCCTCTAGCCAGCCTCCATTCTCCCCTGCCCATGTTTCCTGCTGCAGTATTATGATTACGTGCCTCCAGAAGTTTTGGATGTTCCGCCGCTAGAGGTTTTAAAAAAGAGATTGGACCACCATTTGTCTAGAATGGCATAGATACTTCTGCTTGAATAGTGGGTTGACTAGCTCTCCAAGGTCCCTTCCAACTCTGTATATTAGGAGATGTCTTTCTGCAGGCTGAGTCATGCAGAAGGAGGTAGCAAAGGAATCAATCAATAGGGAATCAAGGAAGGCTGGAGATCAGCCCTATTATGCTGTTATATTTCTGCAACCCCAGAGATGGTTGAGGGCACTAACTCAGCAATGGGGATTCCTATTTGTTATGGAAAAAAGTTGTGGAGAAAGACCAGAGCAGTGGATGAAGGAACCACTACACAGACCTGCTCCTTTTTAGGCAGCATTTATGGGGAAGAAATATGTTCAGTTTGCATCTAAGAGACTATCAATATTATAAAGGATATAGCAATAGCACTTAGATTTATATTTCATCCCATTGTGTTTACAGCACTGTCTGGGTGGTTTACAATGTCAGCATATTGCTCCCAATAACCTGGGTCCTCATTTTACCAACCTTGGAAAGACTGAAGGCTGAGTCAACCTTGAACCTATCAGGATAGAATTCCAGGCTGTAGGCAGTTTGCATTCTAATCACTACACCACCAGGGCTTGTCTATGATATGTCTTTTTTAGAAGTAAAGAAAAGAAGTCAATTCTGTCTGAAAGCTGACAGGCAGCTTTCCCAAATCCTATCATCCTTCTCCATCATTACCACGTGGACTGAATTGGATTGAGCATCTGGATGCAGTGGTATATAGCTCAATTTTAAACACGAGCCTACAGTGACTGCTGCTTAAATGTGGCAAACCACTTTCTCAAACTCAACTACCATAAACACACTGGGAGTAATATAACCTCATACAAGTTCACACTGTAAACTTTTGCCATTTGTTTCTCTTATTTTTGTGTACTCACACACTCTATTTTATATAGTTGTGGGAGCCTCGGCAGCTGATCTTCCAGATATGTGAAAATAAAGAGAAATCCCATTTGTCATTGGAATCTGCTTTTGCATGATGATTTATTTATGAATGTTCAACTATTTTGTTTTTTTAAAACTGTAGCAGTTTATTTACATTTTTGTATATTATATGCCTATCTGAAAAGTGTTAAATAAGACAGTTCAGGCCATTTTCTCCCATAATCACTTATACTACCTTCAAATTTCATTCAGAAATCGTTGAGGTGTTATTTTCACTACTATATCAGCACAACAGTAGTTATCCAACACTTTAAATGGTTAATAGTGGTAGCATTAACAGCCACCTTCTGCATGGCAATATTGCAGCTTTGCCCCAGCTGGTTTCTGAAAGTGGGATAAACAATCAAGATGCATCAAATCATAGTCTGAAATGTGGCCCAACAAGCCATGAGTTACTGCCTGAATCTAAGATTCACAAAGGACTGAAACGTATCCATGAGCAATTGCAATAGTGCAGAATTAGGTAATATATAGTGTTACCCATCTTTTGCCAATACAGAGGAACCTTCTAACTATGCCTATCCACCAAAAAGGATAACAGCCATAGTAGCAGATAGTTATGATCTAAAAGGCAATTAAAAGTAACATCCACAAAAAGGATTGTAAGACAACTATCACATCTGGATATAGACATGTGTATGTTGTATAATCAGTTGCTTAGCAACCAGTATTTGTATTTTAGGTGATAAATCATTAATATATCCTTTGGAATAATAAACCAAGCAGGTTATTGAAATAGTTTCCGGACCCTCATTCAGACAAATTACAATGATCTCTTATCTACAAGTTGGTCTAATTTTGATGTGACAAACATAAGGTCATTGTCAACAGGAAAAAAAGCATAAGTGATAGAAAATGCAGCAGCTAGATGATCCTTACCATTTAAACACTAGGATAACGAAAGGATATATGGAGATGTGGATCAAGAATTATCTCCTTGATATACACTTTGAAATTGGATGCTTTGAGCTTAGACTTCTACATGTCTCATTCTCAGATTTCTCTTCTTGCATATCAAGCTCCAGAAAAATAGCAACATAATCTATTGCAGTATATAAAACACAGGTGATGCTCTTGTAATTGTATTACTATTTTATATGGAGAAGAAAACAGTGAAATCAAAAAAAGGAAAAATGAAGAAAACCCAGAAGACCCTAAAACAAAACAAAGTAAATCAGTTAGCAAGTTTCAGTGAGGACTGAAGGAGTAATGACTTCAGAAATTAATCCAGCAAAATGGGGAAAAATGGAATGTAATGGGAAATGACAAGCAGAAACTTAAGGAACCAACTGCTGACAACTTCTGAAACTTGAAGATGAATATTCAAACTAAAATATCAGAGACCACAAAGCCAAATACACTGTTGTGGAAGCAAAAGACCTGTTATTTGATTGGAGCCAGGAAAAGAGCAAAAGGAGACAGACTAATTATGGTCCACTAACTACTTGGTGGTAGCAAACAAAAAAAATGACAATGAAGTTGCAAGTTTTTGTTGGATGGCATGCACACACATCCTCCACTACAGCATTGGAAATACAGCAGTTGGTCTTCTTATTGACCGTTTGAAATATTGACATTTATTTTATGGTCACAGGTTTGTATGGCACTTAGTTGATTTTATTGTGCTAGTTCGTTTTTAATTTATTGAACTAGGTTGATATATTTATATTGTGCCAAGGAATTATTTGGCTTTAATTTTTAATTGAGTTTTATTTACAAACAAGATACTGCAAGTTATATTTTTCATGATATGCTTAGTTATGGGCACTAAGTAAAGCTATTACTATTGCTACTTTTGAGAGATGCATTTCTAATTAGAGATAAATACCCAAAAATAATTAAGTAGCTATGGTAATAAGCAAAGTTTCCTTGTCTCAATCAAGATTTGGGTTTAATTATCCACCCAACAATTCCACATAGTTCCTTATTTGTACACTAGAGGTCATATGGTTACCATCCCATTCCAGAAACATGCAGATGGTTCATCAGCACCAGCTAAAGGGGAAAAGGGGCTTTTGGTTTTTCCAAAAGATCTATCCAGTTTCTGCAATAATAATAATGAAAGGAAACAACAGTGATAGCAACAGTGCAACAATAAAGCAACATTTAACAAGCAGTGACCTCAGGAGAGAAAAAGAGCAGCAATCCAAGGAGTTGGCATGATAGATATTGCAGAGAGCAAATTAGAGTACATATTAACATGCATATAACTGTCCAAAGGTGACCTTATGGGAGTGGGTGAAACTTGCTAATTGGTACTAAATCTGAAACATTGAATTGTTTTTTTTTTAAAAAAAGCATTTCTAGCAAACGTTAAAAAAAATCACAATTTAGGAGAGAAAAAGTCATAATAAAGAGGGCTTTGTTGCCTGATATATTTGCATTATAAATTATTTCAATTAATATAGATGTTTATAGATATAATTTATTTAAACAAAATATTTCTTTTAACTAAAGAAAGGTCCAAAATATGAAGAACTTAGATGTTAAACAACCAGCGACATCTTAATGGTTATCAAATATTCCAAATATTAACTTTCCTCATCTTGCCTATGTGAAAAGAACTGCATTGCCTCAAAAGAAGACAAAATCCCACTGAAATTTAAAAAATAAAAAAATCAGAATATAATTCGGAAATGTTTTTCTCACACAAGTTCAGAAACCAACAGATACGTAATTAATATTGCTTATCCTACCCATTTCTACCAAAAAGGAGCCCTAAACTAGAAGTTACCACTGCAAACAATCTTGAATGGAGCAGGTGCAATCACCATATAGCATAAACACCAAAACCTGTTATAGTATGCAAGGGCAGTTGTAATCCAAAATACTCGAGTTAAGGAGCCTTCCCTCGCTTAGCCCCGTTATACAGACATCCCAACCTAATCTACAATGAGATAGCTATAGAGACCTCCCTATTTAATCCTGGATGAAATTGAGTTGAGCAATAGAATGGCTGGGAGATCCAGTTCTCCATTATAAAACCTATTATCATATGTAGTTGTCTCTGAATATGTCTCCCTAGAATTGGTTGGCTGCAAAGCCTAAAGACATATCCAGACAGGTCAGGCTTGCTTAAAGTCGCTCCACTTTTTAGCATATACAACCAATAATTATTCCAAATAAGGATTAAAAACCCAGCAGAAATTTTTACCCTAAAGTTCTTAAAATATACGCTTATTTCCCGATACAAATAAGCAATGTACCCAACAGTGCAGTTTATATGTTCCTGATATCCCATCTGGCTTAGTGATGGGGATAGGTCATGAGTCAGGCAAACAAAGCTGTGTGTTCATGGCAGGAATGTGCCTTGAATGTGTTTCTCTTACTTTCTGGATTGTTTTAATACTCTTGGGGGCTTTATTGCAGCTAGGGAATCTAGGTCTTTCTCTGTTTTTTTTCCCCCTCCCCCCAAAAGGCTGGCTCCCTTCTTTCCACAAACATGTTTTTCTTTTCATAGACCATTTTGGTGGAATTGACCTGGTAGTTAGATTTTGGAGATGCCTTTTTTTCTGGCAGCTTATTTTCTGCAGGTTGTGGAAACATCACAATGTTGGGCAAGGACTGGCAGAGCAGATATGCAATGCGAGTATGGTAGAGAGCATTGCTAGCACAGAGGGTGTCAGCAGGAATGAGAGATAGGGATTATTTTGGAATAAATGCAGCTGGGAGTATTGTCATTTTTCCTTTCCTTGCTTTTCTCTCCCTTTCCTTTATACTTCATTTCTATCTATCTTAAATTGAGGAAAAAGTTGTTGATGTCAGAAGACCTCAGCAGTATGCCCTACTTGCAGTGGCATGAAAATGATTTGTTAACTGTTACTCAACGTAATTTCACAACATAACCATCTTGTTATTAACCTTCTGCTGAGGCAACTGAATCCAGTTTAAGGTATTCTGGCATGAAAGTAGTGTTTTCCTTAGCATTGCAGCCCAAGAATCTGCAGGCAGGCTTTCCAGGGGACATGGGGGAGAGGTTTTTGGAAGCTGATGATCAGCTGATCTTCAGTTGGATTATCAGCATACTTTAGGACTTCTCTTCCTATCCAGTTGCTGGCTTTTATGACTGTGTAGCCCTTTCAATTGTAGCTGTAAGATAGACCAGAACCCTCTCTAGGTACAATGGCTTATGGGATATCAGGCACTTCCAGGAGAAATTGGGTCAGGACTCTGTATGCAGAATGGTGAGTTTTGCTGAGGTAGTGCTATCATATGCTGTTAGCGGCAGCAGTAAAGAGATTTGACTGGATTAGTAGCTGACAGAATTCAGTACAAAATGCGTAAGCATAGATACAGATTTTGCCAAGGACCATCTGCCCAGCACAACCACAAACCTGTGCCAGCAGGAACATTTGGGTCTCAAAGTACAATCTTCTCTTCCACCATCCTGAGAGTTTTTCAAGGACATGGTATAGGAAAGACTTTCCTAATCTAATGTCTTGTAGAAAAGTTAAGAATACATTACTCAGAGTTCCCAGCTTTTTTCCCAATAGAAAGAAAATATGGAGAGATGCAAGTTTGGTAGGGAAAGCTGGATTAATGTTATATGTACTTTCTTAGGGCAATTGGATTCTTTCATGTATACCTGTAGCGTATTTCAAAGGGGAGGGGTTAAGGAGAGTGAGGATTCAACAATCCAAAACGTTATCTGTTCGGGTTAGATAGAAACTGGATTTGGTTTGTTCCATCAGCTTTGGATGCAGGTCAGCCTCATCTCCACTTAGTAAGAGCATGTTCCATATCCATCCTGGAAATTGCATTCCTAACCTTCTAACATCTCCACTTCATCTTCTAGTTTTCCCTGAAATGTACGGAATGTAACATACCAAGACGGTGTATTGTTTTCTTTCCCAGGACTACGCCAAAATTACATAAAAAGGCACCCAGATTCTTCTCTCTACAAAGACTCTGACAAAGTTTCCTTTTATCTAAATTTATAATTTGGGGATATTAATCTATTTCTGGACTTTCATACACCATGAGCACCCATCAGATTTATGCAAAAGGAATTCACAACCTGCATTGTAATACATGGTAAACATAAAAGCAAATGAATCAAGATATCCTCTGAAAACCTTGGGCTCTTCTCTTGTCCCAAATCCTTCCAGACAAATTGCTAGCCTTCTGAAACACCCCTGAAAGCCAGTCAGCTTGGGACAACTTCTGAGTGTTGAGAAAAGACAGAAAGGAAAGCAGAGGTTGTTATAGAGAAGTCAGGGCCGGAACGTCTGTGGAAATTGCTTAAGCTGCCCTATAAACTTACCTTGTTACTAAGGTGATAAAAAATAATATATCATTCTGAAGTTGCAGAGATCTTTGACATAAATATTGGGATGAGGTTGGAGAAACAATACACGTTATGTTGTTGAGCCGGGGAGACAGAAAGGACGTCCTGATCTCCTCAGCTTCTTTTTGGTTGCTGTATTAATATTCTCTGGCCTCCTGTAGTTGAGACAGGTATTCATCCTCTGGAGGGTTGACAGCACACTGCTGCCCATTATTGGGAGGCCGCACAGCATGGTATCGACTCCAGTCCCCTTTGCAGAGGATCCAAGGCAACATGTCCACCTTGTAGTGTAACTCAGGAGAGAACTCTGTGCTTATGAGGTTGGGCGCTCCTGCTCCCTTGCCTCGGGTAATGAGCTTGGTGTTCTCATCATAGCAACAGTGTTGGGCACCTAGAGTGGTGCTGTCCAGGGACAGCATGGAACGCAAGCAGAAACGGGCTGTGGGTTTGTAGATGTCCAATCGCTCCTTTGGCCCACTGGCATCCTGCCATCGGAAGTTCTTGCCCTTCTGCTCATCTTGCACATTTACAGCATTATAAACAGCTTCTAAAGGGTAAGAGCAGGGACAGTTGGGTAGGTCTGAAAGCACTTTGCTTAGGTATTTGTTGAGGAAATCACTCTTGCAATTAAGCCATTTCTCACAACTATCCACATCTGGGAAAGGAAGGGAGAATCAAATCAATATAAGATTTTATGTCTTAGAATTTTTGTCCAAATTCTCAGAAAGCAAATCCTTTATACTACAGCTTCCATGGTTCAGCTTAGCCTTTCCCACCATAATGACCGCCAAAGAAGTTGATAAATATGTTGCTTCCTGTGAGGAGGCTCATACTGCTTAGAAATTATGGATTTTGTAATCCAGCAGATATCAAAAGATTGGGGAAGGGTGATTTTAAGCATATTGGAGAATAAGCCCAGGTATTTACAAAAAGTTTGGAGGACAAATAGCAAAGTAGGAAGTAAAACAGAGTTCCTTGAGCCTATTTTGAAATCGTTACTTACTATAAAAATATATTTTTCTGGGTCTATAGAAAATACAGTAGTAGCAATAGCAGATACACATAGACACACTGATAAGGTGCAAAGTAATTATTCAGTGTAGCAATTAAGAGTGGAGGGATCCGTTAACTTCTTATTTTCCACTCTTAATTGTATTTTCTTTCTATTTCTGCATCCATCTGCAGTATTAATAAAGATCTCCACAAAACTTTGCATATCTTAATGTCTATTTGTTCCAGCATAAAATTGGGACAGCAAAATTTGAATGTCAAAGGTTACCAATACTTTTGTTCACATATAGTTCTTAGAAGTATGAATGAGACAGATCCACATTACAATGCAGTTTCTTAATAATAATTAAGAACAATGCTATTTCTTAATAACAATCCTAATATTATTGCCTTAAGGGCAAGGACTTTACTGGCCTGCATTTAGAAACTCCGTGGCATTTTCAGCTTCAAATGGTGTCTCTTCAGTGGTAGAAGCCAATTCCCCAACTTCTCCTTGAGAAAAGCATAGAAGCAAACAGGTCAGAGTGTACACTGTGAGATACAGTCTGATTTATGTAAAAGGTCTACAACAGGGGTGTCAAACTGGCAGCCCACAGGCCGGATGTGCCACGCGCAGGCCACACCCACCCCAGCTCTGGGAAGGGGGAAAATATCATGAAATGCCACGTGACAGCAGAATGATGATGCAAGTTTGACGCCCGTGGTCTACAGGAATAGAAACTGAACATGTTCCTCCACTAGTTTTCTAATCATTTCCAAGACTACAATCTGCTTCCACATATGGAAGGGTTAAAAGCTTTCTTTTTAACTTCACAATAGGCTTTCAGCTGATGGCCTCAATAGAGCTGGTGTATCAAACAGCTGAGTAAAGGTATAGTGGAAATGCTTGCCATTAATAATGGATCCATTGATTTTTCAAGACTGTCATCAAATCTTGCTTTACTGCAGGAGACAATCCAGTTCCAGAAATATCTTCATTTTATAATATCAAGGAAATGGAGGAAGAGGAACTTCTCAACATTCAAGGGCAAAGAATGGGAGAGGAATCACAGCCAAAAGCATTTTCCTCCTCCTCAGATTCCACATTAATTCTCATAGGATGTCTGAAAAGACAATTTCTAAAAATTCAAAAGAACTTCTACATGGTCCAGATGAGATAGCAATAGAATGAATGAATAACTCTGAAGGGTTAATGTTAAAGCAGAGCCTATGGAAATATTGCAGCCAAGAAAATTAGAACATACCAGGACAGTGCTGCAGCTCACAAGTTCTTGATTCTGTAGCTGTGCATGCATAACCACAAGACCGGGTTCTCTTCTGATGGCCATTGCTACAGGTTACACTGCAGGAAGACCAAGGACTCCAGTCCTCTTCATCTTCATAATCTGGAGCCAGCAGCAACAGCAACAACATAAAACAAAACACATGAAGATTCAACAAAGTCTGGTGAAGAACAAAGTTACAATCCTCCTACAAGATACATAGAAGAATTCAGTGTGAGCTATACTTCTGTCATGAAGGCTTAGTTTTTCCCCAGGGTTCTTAATGTGAGATGATACACACGCGCACGCACACACACACACATACGATCAATGGATGGGACTTCTGAAAGCTGAACTCATCCTTTTGTTCCTCAGTAATGTGTGTGTGTTTGTGTGTGTGTGTGTGTGTGTGTAGCAATCCCTAAATATCTGATTGGGAAAAGCTGTTTGTAGTATACAATATAAAGGAAAGTGTACATTTTATGCCATTAGTGAATGAAAAATGCTCAGTTTTAACAAGCTCATTCTACACACAGTGAGATCATATAATATGAACTGTTCACCAGCTATTGTTTTTTGACCCTTAATGGAAGAAAGATATACTCAGCAGATCAGATTTACTAAGAGCAAAAAAGGCAGACTCACCATAGTTGTATTTCTCTTTTAAGATCCAATTCTTTCGATTAGGCCACCTCTGATGCCAATTTCCCCCCACTCCACTCACAACTATTTCTTCTTCATCATACTCCGATGTATAATCTTCCTCTTCCTCCTCCTCTTCTTCATCCCTGCTCTTTATGTTCAAATTGTCATCACCATCCTCTATGGGATCTGTGTATTCCCAGAAAAGAGGCCAAAAGAGGTCCTTATGAGATAACCAGTCAGAGGAAGACAGGGACCAGTCATTGCTAGTCTCCTTCAGCAAGTCCATCTCCATCTCTGCTTGAGGATCATTCACCACCTCAATGGTCACCTGGAAATCAAGGCATTGAATCAGACTGTTTTGGAAGCATCAGCACTAAATCAAAAGGTAAGCAGCACATTTTACCTTCAACTCTCTATATGTCTTTTTCACATCTTACCTTTCCTGTCCGAAAAATTAAGTCCTTGTAGCTCTTGACTTTCTGCTTTCTAAACTATTCTTCACACTCACTTATTCTCCTTTCAACTTAATTAAAATTTTCAAACTCTATTTGCATATTTTCATTTTTATTTAAGCGTAACTATTTGAGGGATGGGGTGTGTGTGCGATGGCTCAGTGGTTAAGGAAGCTGAGCTTGTCAGCTGGAAAGCTAATAGCTCAGCTCTGAGACCCAAGCACCACCAGACAGAGTGAGTTCCCATCCTTGGCCCAGCTCCTGCCATCTAGCAGTTTGAAAGCATGCAAATGCGAATAGATAAATAGGTACCACTTCAGTGCACATTGGCATATACTCATGCTGGCCACATGACCATGGACATGTCTTTGGACAATGCTAGGTCCCTCAGCTAAGAAATGGAGATGAGTACCGTCCCTTAGAGTCAGACATGGCTAGACAGGGGAAACCTTTGCCTTTACCTTTATCTGAGGGATATAAATTATGGATTGTGTGAATGGGCTAAAGTTTCTTTCCCTCTTTCTTTCACAGCTTTTGAATCTGAAATCATTCAATAAAGCTCCACGGTGAAAGATTCAGAGAAGACAGGTATCTGCAAACTGTATAGTTAACAAAGGTATCTTGTTATGAAGGTAATGATAGACACAACCACTGCAGCTTTAAAAGAAGGGCCAAGCATATTCATGGAAAATAAGGCTATCCATGGTTACAAATCCCAATAACTATGAATTATCCTCAGTTTGATAGGCAGGCAGCAGGCAGATGTGAAAATAACATGATGAGTTACATAAGCTTTGGATGTGATCTACAACAGTTCTTCAAAAAACATTAAATCGTGTAAGAAACAAATAAAATTGAACAAATTATTTGAAAGAGTTCCTTTGGAATATGCAGAACTGTATGTAAAATATTTTGTCTTGAATTCTTAAAAGAAAGAGAAATAATTGCCTTAAGTATTTGACAGAGGTTGCTTTGAATATGCTCCCATGCATTGAAACCTTCCTTTCAAGATCTCTTGCAGAGATCTAATAAGCTGGACTGGAAACTCTCTATCGCACAGCTCAAAACTCTTTATACCCTTATTTTAGTATTTGAGTTCAATTAAGTACACCAAGGTACAGTAAAGTAAATAAAGTCCTTCTCTTATGCCATTTTGAACATAAATTTCCTTATTGTGTATACAAATATAATACAATTCTGCTTTGTATTTATTTGGAGGGACAATTCAATAAGCTCATTTACTTAGCTGACACTCATACAGTTGTTAAATTTGCATTATTAATCTGAAAATATTGGCCCATCTGGTAGAGATACCAGAGAGGTAAACAATATAACAATATCACATTTTTCTTTTTCCCCTTCCTTTCTCACTCTAAATAATATAAGATATGATCAGTCAAATACTTTAGACCAGTGGTCGCCAACTGGTGAGAAAATTTGGGTGGGCTGCAGAGAAATCTCACCCCCAGAGGGCCCCCACAAAGCTGCACAGAAACACAAGGCTGCACAGGCTGCACAGAAACACAAGGCTGCGCCGCCCACATGGCCTGCGTGAACCCTCCCTGCCCACTCACTCCTTACCCAGTAAACTTGCCTGCTAAATTGCTATTTTTTCTTTTTCTGATCATCATCTGTTCTGTTGTGCTGGGAGATTTAGATTAGCTAGGAAGCATGAAATGGTTGGATTTCTTGCTTTCTAGCTAGTCTTTAGATCTTCGGCTCTGCTTTTAAGTACAGCCAAACCTTAGGATTGAAGGTTTGCTTGCAAGCAAATTCAGTGCAGACTCATGGCAAGCAAATATGAGAGACTGAGCTAGGCGATGGTAGATAGATCAATCACTGGACGATTCTGTAAGCAATTCAATCTGCCTGCTTTGCCTGATTTTGGGTAAAAGTTGCTCTTCTTTTTATAAAAAATTCAAAATTTACATACATGGTGTGTTGTGAGTTAATTTTATGAGTTTGCTTGCAAGCAAATTTTATGTGACTGACTGAGCTAGCCAATGGCAGATAGATAGATTACTGAATGAATCTGTGATTCTGTGAGCAACTCAATCTGCCTGCCTGCTTTGCCTGATTTTGGGTAAAAGTTGCTCTTTTTTAAAATAAAAAATTCAATATTTAAATGCATGGTGTGTTGTGAGTTAATTTTGTGAGTTTGCTTGAAAGCAAATTTTATGTGACAAACTGAGCTAGCCAATGGCAGATAGATTTCTGAGTGAATCTGTGATTCTGTGAGCAACTCAATCTGCCTGCCTGTTTTGCCTGATTTTGGGTAAAAGTTGCTCATTTTTTAAAAAAATTCAATATTTATATAAATATTTATAATATTTACATACAAGGCATGCCCAGCCAGTCACATGACCACCAAGCCACACCCACAAATTAGGCCACACCCCCAGAACCAGTTAGTGGTCCCTGGGATCTAAAATTATGCGTTTGGTGGTCCCTGAGGTCCAAAAGGTTGGCGACCCCTGCTTTAGATAAAGGTTATAGCCATGAGCTTGTATTACTTCTTAATATATATTTTAATCTTTATTGTATTAAATGATGTAAAACTTTAAGAAACATATTTAGAAGTAGATTAATATTACATTATTCTATGTATGGCATTATCAATCTCATAGTTTCAATTTAATTTTGACATTATTGTTGTGGTGCAGTAGTTAGAATGCAGTATTGCAGGCTAATTCTGCTGACTGCTGACTTCCAGCAGTTCAGCAGTTTGAGTCTCATCAACTCGAGGTTTACTCAGCCTTCCATCCTTCTAAGGACCCAAATTGTTGGGGGCAATATGTAAACTGTTTAGAGAGGGCTGTAAAGTGATATATAAGTCTAAGTGCTATTGTTATTATTTCTTTATTGAAATATTCTCAAGTTTCTTAAAGACAATAGTAAAAACTTGATCTGAAAAAAAAAAATTAACTAAATTATATATTACCCAGTCATTCTTTTTTGGGGTTAGAGTCTGTTTTGGGGGGGTATAAACAACCTTGCTATTCCCCATGAAAATCACTGGATTATTTTAGGGAAGTTAACAGTTCTCATGTTTGCTCACCTCAATAGAGGAGAATGAGGAGGAAAAAAAATCAAGCCTGTGGAAAAGGGGGAAGAGGGGAAGAGAAAGAAAGAAGGATGCAAAGGATTCTTCCACTTTTGATTTGTCTGTGGCTAGACTAGCAAGAGTAGCTTAAGGAAATCATCAGCCTACCTGTATGTTTGGATTCTGGGCATTCAGATCCACATTGGCTAAGCCTGTCAGGCTTTGTAAGTCCAACACAAAAGGTGTTTTCTCTTCTGGGAGTATTTCCGCAGATTGAAGTGATGCCAACTGGTTCCTTGAAGCCTGTTGTAATGGCCAATGGTGCTTGTGTTGATCTGGTGTCACCTGTTCATTCAGCCTCAAGTTCTGTATTCTGTGTGACTTTGGCATTTCTTCTTTGAATGAAGGGACATCAGCTGATGTGGCAACCTGAAATGAAAGTTAGTTGTAGTCTTACTGCCTGATGAAGATCCAACTTCCACTTATCCCAGCAGGCATGTTAGACTACAACTCCTTTCCTTGCAAACTTGCATGTAAGGCAAGATAGAGCAGGTTCTGATGATGGCCACTCAAGGAGAGCTATATTTTCTAGGCTTTACTATTGAAAAAAACTTGCCCTATAATGTCCCCAATTGCACATTCAGACCATGATGAAATTAGGAGCAAGTTTTTTTCAGAAAATCTAAGCAAGCAAATTGACTCACTGGTTACTTGCTATAAAAAAAAATTAAAAGAATTGTAACCATAAATAACAATCACATCCCAACTAACTGTCAGTTTCCTGGTTGCCAGTAAAATAACACAAAATGTTTAAAAGTTTCAGGATGGCAAAGAAATCAGGGCAATGAAAACAAGTTAATTCTGAACTCCTGATTACATGGTTTGGAGCAGTTGATGTACTTTATATTCTGCAGCATTATACAAGATGGAATTCAACTCAATGGAGTACTTTTTTTTCCAGTTCTATGATTACAAATGAAAAAATATGGGCATTGGTTATGGATTGGAAAATTAATTAATATAAACACCCCTAAGAGCATAGTCTGGGAATGATTTACAACCTAACGTGCACTGTAGTGATTTTTACAAATGATATTTTGGAACCAGTCTTCCAAAGTCTGGAGTCTTCCATGTGTGTAGGACTACAATTCCTGAAGCACCATTGCCACAATGTAGAAGTCTGTCCCAACCTTTCTTTGAAGGCCCACCATGACTCACTGCAAGGAGCCATTTCCCAATGTTCCCCAAGTCTTGTTCTCTGTATGCTACTTCCTTTCACTGCAGGAGCCCAGAATTTAGCTGCAGAATTAGAGAAACTGGGGGTGCTCCCCCTTCCTCCATATGGGATACCAAGAGGCTCTATTACCTGCAATTAGGGCTTGATGGCTTTTGAAAGACTCTTCCCCCTCACTACTTTCATCTTGATCACTGGAGCACTTCAAAGAGCTGGAGCTGGTTGGGACTCACATGAGCGCACATATAAGGCATCATCGATGGATTTACAAGGGTTGCACATCAAAGCCCTGGAGCCTGTCTTCCTCTCCCACAGTGAAAATGAGAGAAAACAGCAGGAAGATTGCTGGTCTCTGCTGTTTTTATTAAGGAGTGGGACCAGCCCTGGCAGAAGGGCTTGTAGTAATATTTCTGAGCCCCAAAGAAAGCTTCAGCTATAAGACTGAAGGAAGTATGATTGCTCAATTTGGCAAAGATTCTCATACCCTTCTAATCAATGGGATTTTTTTGCATCTCATTACCAGATAAGGTCCACAAAGAAAAGGAGAAAAGCACAGGTTTTGACCATTAAAACAGCAAATGAAGAAGAGACAAACTGTTATTTCTTTCAGGTCCATTGCTCCAACAAAATCAATAGTCCACTTGGCTCCTTTTAAACTTGGTGAAATTGGGAATAATAATAATAATAATAATAATAATGAATTAATATATTAATAGTAATACTAGAGCAAACAATAGATACAAACTCAAGGTTAACCGCACCAAACTTGATTGTAGGAAATACAACTTCAGCAACAGAGTGGTCAATGTCTGGAATACTTTACCTGACTCTGTGGTTTCTTCCCCAAGCCCCAAAAACTTTAACCTTAGACTATCTACTATTGACCTCACCCCTTTCCTAAGAGGTCTGTAGGGGGCGTGCATAAGCGCACCAACGTGCCTACCGTCCCTATCCTATATTTTATTTTTATTTTATTTTTTATTTTTTTTATTTTTCTTATATGTATCCATGTATTCATAACTATGTTTTTACTTATACCTATTATCTTGTAAGCAATTGACAAACCAAATAAAATAAATAAATAAATAATAAAATAAAATAAATAATAATAGTAGTAATAGTAGTAATAGTAATATTTTATTATTATTATTATTTTCGGAACATAGTATATTTTAAGAAGATACTTGGTTGATACCTAGGATGCTGACAGCAACCCATATCAACCATTAGCACCAATCACTGGTATTTTGATACATTTTTAAATGTTCAGTTGACTGAGTTTCATGTTTAATGAATAAAAGAGATAATAATACTTTTATTTCTGTCAGCCCTGAGACCAGGTTCTTCAGATAGGGTATGCTGAATCTCAGATACCAAAATCAAAGAAAAGGTTCCAACTATTTCGTTCTGTTTATTTGGATGGTTGGACTCTTATCATCTCTCTCTCCCTGACAAGCAACAATGATCAAGATCTGTGCCTCATCTGGTACAAAACTCTCTAGAAAAGAGATCACTTATTAAGAAGTGTCAACAAAAAGCCCCTTCCCTTAACTCAAAGTATAGGTACCCTGCGGACCCCAAGTCCCTTTTTTATAGTCCTTCTCTTCTGACTTTAATTACAGGGACAGGAAATGCATAAAAGTTTTGTGTAAGCACTAAATTAACTTAAATAGGTTTAAAATGTCCAAAGTAAAACCTCAACTTTCCCTTCAAAATCAGGAAAACAAAAGCAATAATCTCAGCTCAGCCTGTGTATATCTTTACCCCGTTCCACTTCAGCTCTTGGGTTCTTCTCAAAAACTCAGCTGAGACTTCCTTACATTGTTGCAGTTCTTTCCCTTCTGATTTGGGAAAATCTATTCTTTAATTGTGGAAATAAATTGTTTCTAATACCTTCTCATATTTATTTCATTTTCCTAAGAGACCTTGGTTGTTGATAGTATGTTAACTTGAATGCAAGAAAGATTAAATATGGCCCTTGGTTATCGTAAAATACAATGAATCCTTTTCACAGTTTACATTAAAATGTTTATGTAGAGAAACCAAAATGACAGTTTGATATTTGACTGAAAGCACCTGAATAAATTCCTCACGAAATGAAAGTTCTTAATGAAAATTGTCTTCTTCCCATTCTATCACGTAGGTACAAGAAAGTCCAAATAAAATGAACAGAAAACACGTGTTAATTTAGTCTAATCCAGCATTCCACGGAATGGATGTAATTGGTATATTAGCTTGAACTGTGTAAAGACATCTCTGAAATCCAATTAGCCTAATTTAGGATTTAACCCAGAAGGATGATCAAATGCAAATCTGAGTTTTCAAGAGAAAGCTCTGTCCAACAATAGGATGCTGGGTTACCCAAAATAGATAAAAGGCTTTCTTGAGCCAAATCATGATGACATCTCCATGTAGTTTACTTGGCAACAGGATGGAAATGCTTCTAAAAGCTATTGCTTTCTTCTGATATGTTTGTGTTGACTATTGCTTTAGCCTGTAGCTCCTGGATTTGCTATGGTCCGAACCACAAATGCCAAAATTACTTCCTCTAGAAGAGGGGTGTCAAACACAAGGGATGTGAGATGGATCTGGCCCACGTTGTAGTCAGATCTGGCCAATGGGACTGTCCCGGAAAAAGGGGCTGGCTTGCATGGCTTTGGCCTGGTCTACCCAATGCAAAGAGGAAACATGCCAGCTGTTTGGGGAGTGGTGTCAAGCTGGCCATGCTCACACAGTCAGCCACATCCACTCACTCAGCCACAACCCCCCAAGGTCAACCACAGCCCCGATGCGGCCCTCAATGAAATTGAATTTGACACCCCTGTTCTAAAAGTTGCACAATTGAGAGATTTTACCATTTTAAAATTATTTAGATTTGTTCAAAATACAACATCATATTATAATAGACAGGCTATTGCCAAATGAGACCCTAATGTGGAAATTTTAATATAAACCTACATATATAAATTATTTCTTAAGGGATTGGGAGTAAATTAAAAAGCTATAAAAACACAACTTAAGTTCTGTCTGAACAATTTTTGACTAATCAGCAGTGAACGGAGGTACCTTCCAGATAAGTTCAGACTCTGCTCTCTTTTACTCCAGTATAAAAATCATGACCTTGACCATATTAAAATCTTGTTGCCCAACTACTGAATGGAGCCTTTTTTTAAGGAGGGAGGGAGGGAGAAGAGACACAAGGGTCCTGGAACCCTGATCATGGTGCAAATCTCCAGAGAAAAGCAACTGACTGTGTTTGAGCAAACCTACCTAGTATGGGGAGTTATTTACAGAACCCTCATATTCCACAGCACACAATTTGAAAAACCTTGATAATAGAGGATCATTGTGAATGGTCACACAAGAGATTATATACGAAGTTGAAACCACAGTAACCTTATATACAATAGCTCCCTCTGGCCCCAGATCAGAAACACGGTGAGTCTCCACCAAGTTGGCATTGTTCCTTTCTCACCTTTAACTGGATTAAAACTGCTGTGGCCAACCACTGAGAACAGGCTTTCTGGCTAGCCATCAAAAGGCTTCAATGCTACTTTTAATTGTTTTGACCAGGAAAGCTGCTTTTACCACTTGCTTCCTTCCTGGCTGTATTATGCTCTTTGACCTTTCTTTGGAAAAGAAGGAAATGGACTGAAATGTGGCTTGTTTATCTATATTCAGAGAGGCAGGCAGGTTTTTTTTGGGGGGGGATTTCAACCTGCAATTCTACCCACTACTAAACCAATAGGAGATGGCAGAAGAGGAAGCTTAATATGTCAGTGTGAAACAAAACTTTCAAAGTCCACAAGCAGCTTGGACAACTTTGACTGCTTGAAGAACGTCACTGACCTAGTTAATGGAATAATAACCTCCTCTGGCCTCTCTATAAGACATCTTAAAGTTTGTAACAAGCAGGGTTACCAGATATCTGAACAAGCAGAGAGGACATAAATAATTAGAGCCGAGGGAAAGGGGGGGGGGGAGAGCAGATCTACTAACTGTGACATTCTTGACAAAAATCACAGTGAGAAACTGCAAAAAAAAATTATTTAGGCCTACATGTATATGAAATTATATTTTCCAGCATCAGAAATATTGTTTTTCAATCACAATATTTTTCTCTCTCTCTCCCCCTCTCCCTCCCTCCTTTCCTCTTGCTTTTCAATTAGTTCTGGTCTAAAACTATCCAGAACAGTTAACAGAATAATAGAATAATGGCATTGGAAGGGACCTTGAAGGTCTTCTAGTCCAATCTCCTATAAAGGAGGAAACCTATATCAGGGCTGTCAAACTCTGGCCTGTGGGCTGGATGTATCACGGGCTGGCCACGCCCACGCCCCTGGGCTTGGCAAAAGGGCAACAAAAGTCCTAGTACATCATGTGACACCGCCATGACAATGTGAGTTTCACACCCCCGCCCTGTACCATTTCAGTTGTTAGATTTAGCACATTTTACAGGGTTAAGAAAAGACACTGCAAAGTTTACATAATTTCCAGGTGGACAACACGGGGAAGCCATCCATTTGCCTCAATACATCCAGAGCAAAAAGCCCTTTGCTGACTTCAAAGGTTAGCATGCTTTCCCAATTTCCTGTACTGGTGCAGCCCAGCAGCTGAAGAATGCAAGCTTTGCCACCTGGGAGCAGCTGCTGTGCAGAAAGCCAGCCAGAAGATTTGTGTCAAACACAAACAGCAGCTGCAGAACAAACAGTGCTCACCTAACTGGCTTTTGGCAGTAAGAAACTTTGAAAACTATTGGGGATTCTCTGATTGTATCCATTCTATGAGAAAAAAATTGGGGAAAAAAGCCTAAGTCAAATCCAGATTTAGGAAACAGCTGGTAATTGCAGCTGCAATTCTACTGTAGGAGAGAAAATGTAAGTTAAAGACACTTAGGGCTTGCTCTTAGAAAAAGCAGCAAAACATGTATCTGATTATTTAAAAGTGACCCTGAGCATTCTCTGCTGTTTTAGGAACATCTCAAAAGCTGCTCTGCCCAATCCTTGCCCACTAATTAGAGTAATTAGACCAGCAAGCTATACAGAACACTGGAACCTCTGCAGAAAAATTGGTTAATTAAAAGCTCTGAAGCCAGTTTTTTTTTTTAAATTTATATTATTGTGTTACATGGGGACCCAGTCATTATTAACGTGACCCAAAGAAGAGTGAAAAATCCCCAAGTGGGAATAGCCACTATCCAATAATTTCTTAATGCCACACATAAGCATAATATTTCCCTTTTGGGAACATATTTTCTTTAACATGAGTTGCCATATTCAATATTCACTTACTGAATGCAACATTAGCAACTGGGTTGTCTCCTTGATATTAAAGAAAAAAACAGTAACCAATGAAATGCAAACTCTTGCATTTATGACAGCAGAGAAGTGAACATCTGAACAAAGTCGCAATACTTGGTTTAAGGCTTGCTGAACAAACCCAGAGTGCTTTGGCGCTGAGATGTAAGCATGCAACATCCTGATTACTGTGAGGGTCACAATAATTCCAGACAACAGAAACATACAGAACCACAACATTTCTAGTTATTATTGGGGTCTGGGGTGGGGCGGGGGTGGGGGGGTAGGGGAAGGCAATAGATTTAATTTCTCATTCATGTATCAAATGTAAATGAGTTGTTCAAAAGAGCCAACCATGTTAAAAAAGGAGAGAGAGAGATTTCTCTAGCAAAAGGAGGGTCTTCTTCCATTTTCTCCAAGTTGTTTTCCCTCCCAGATGATGCCTCCACTGTTTCAAATATTTCTCATCTTTCCCATCTCATCTTCAGCAATTACCCCTTCCCCAAATAATTCTGACTAAAATAATCTGGTACATCTCAAAAGGAAGAATGGCTCCAAAATGGTAAAGCATGCGCTTGTGCACAATAAGCCCCTTTCAGAATAAGCAATGGTTCAGTGCCCGTGTTGTGCTGCAAATCCAACCTCAGGAAAGGACAAAGCAAGGAGACAAGAGGGCTTAATTGCTGAAGAAATGAAAGAGTAAAAAAAGCACATCCACCCACAAGTCAGAGACCACCCCCTGCTGTGGCCAGTGGTGGGCATGCATTCCACACATGCAAGCAAGCAAGCAAGCAAATATAGCAGCCTCCTTCCGGGTCTGTAGGGAAGGTGCAACAGCAGCTACTTCTGCTGCTCACCCCCACCGGCCCCAGTCCCCACCTGGAGCCACCATTTACCCACTGTCTGTGACAGGTCAATCATCTCCTGCCAAGGCAAGGACAGGCATCATAAAGGGAGAGAAGGACGCCTGCAGGTCAGGAATAAGCAGCAGGAGACAGGGGGGGCTCCTGCAAAGAGAATAGCCTGCTTTTATCTCTGGCCACAAAACTGAAGAGAAAATAAACCTTCTGAGGAAACTTCAGGGCAGAGATGAAGCTACAGGGGGGACCTTGGTCCAGCAGTTATCAAGCAGCCAGACCGAAGGGTCTTTCATTCATTTTTTTGCTAAGGTTTATATGTTCTTCTGCCCTTTAAGAAAGCATCTCGAGCAAGGGCTGCGGAACGGCCAGGAAGCCTGTCAGCTGAGGCTTGCCAGAAGAAGGCAAGGTGGGCTGCTTTCACTCACCTCCACCAAGGTATAGTCCGTTGCTTTCGGGTGGGGACTGCGCAGTTTCTTCAAGGGCAGCCCTTGGACAGCAGCAAGCGAAGTTGTCAGAAACAGGAGGCTCAGAATAAGCACAGCTCTGCCTCGGGCTTTAGACATCTCTTTCTCCCACTCCAGCGCAGCGCTTCTCCTCGCAAGGCTTCCCTCCCTCCCTGCCCCCCCCACCCCCGCACGGCAGGCGAGCAAGAAGACCGGCCGCGTCGAGCGCTACTTCACCCTCGCCGGTCTCTTAAAACCCTTTCCGAAGAAGGGGAACGAGGCAGGCCGGTCCTCTCGCCGCCTTTCCGCTCCTCTGGGCAAACGGTCGGAGTGAAGAGTATCAAATGAGAGGGAGGGAGGGAGGGAGGGAGAGACCAAATTGGGCGAGGGAAAGTCCTCGCCCCCCCCCGCGGCCTTCAACCCGGCTCGCGTTTCTTCCGTCTCTCAGCTCCGCGCCGTTTTCTGAGCCCCGGGTTTTATTGCCCAGCTTTGAGCTGGCGCCCCGACAGGCGCCGGGGCTGCAGGAAGGCGCTGGCGCGAGAAGGAGCCGCAGACTGGAAAAGGTGCAGGAAGAAGAGGAGGAGGAGGAAGCGGCTCCTCTCCGGCGTGTCCCGCGGCGAGAAAGTCCGATTTCTTCCGCCGCCGCTCCGGCTGTCCTCACCGCACGTGGCTCAGCCGAGACGCCCAAACGAATCTGAAGAAGCGGCGCTCACATAACTCCCGAAACCGCCCAGTTTCTACGGAGCCAAGGCGGGGGAAATGGTTCTTCTGCTCCGGAGGTGGAGAAACAAGGGTCCCTCCGGCCGGCCGGCCGGCCGCTCTTCGGATCGCCTCAAAGAAACGCCGCTGCCGTCTCCTCCTCTTCATCCCAAAGTCTTCGGGAGAAACTCACGTGTCTCCGTCGCCGATCCACACGTTGCCCATCTCTGGAACCCGGCCAGGCGCCGCGATGCCCGCAGCCGCCGCATCTCCCGGCCTCCGATTACCTTGGCTGCTGTGCCTGCAGCAGCGAGTTCCCGGCCGCTCCTTGGCCGGAGGCGTCCCGTGTCCTTCGCATTTTGCAGGGTGCGCCTGCCCCCCCTGTTGCGACTCGAACCCCCCCCCCCCCCGCCTCCTGCGGGCCCCTTGGCCCCGAACCCCCCCGGCCGCCCCCCCCCCCCCCGGACGGTTCCAAAGCTGTCGGTGCTATGGCGCGAGGCACTTTCGCCCCCCGCCCCCCCAAGTCAGCCTTGCTTGGCTGCCCAGCGCCACCGCCTCGGTTCTTCCCCAGACCCGGCGCCTTCCTCGTAACAGCCTTAGGATCCCCCGGTTCTTTCGCTGGTTCTTCTTGGCTCGCCTTTCCTTCCTTGGCGCCCCCGCGGCTTCCTCAGTCCGGCACGTTCGGGGGGCTCTCGGATTTCGCGGAGCGTTCGCCGTCTCCTCGCGCGCTCCCCCAGAAGCCGAGCTTCGTCTGCAGCTCTTGCTCTCCCTCCAGTGGCTTGGCTTCCCTCCATCGCAACCTTCGGTGACGTTTGCCCGCAAGAGGATCTTTGCTCGCAGGCCCGGCCGCGAGCGTTTGCCACGGGAATGTATACACGCACCCGCGACTCCCCACTCTCCCCAGTAAGGAAAACGGAGGGGGAGGGTGGGGGAAATCCGGTGTGCTCCGCTCACCTGGGTACAGCTTCTGTCTGAGAGATTTTATTCCTACAACAGATTCGATTTACAACGGCTTTAGAGTCCATCTTGGTCCAAAACGTGGATCTGAGGTTCCAAACGATTGTCTTGATTTGTGTTTTATATGACGTCTGCTAAACCACTATGTAATCACAAATTACCACATGAAGTCAGTTATTACAAATAAAAATGGTAGTTGATGCTTCCAAGGTGCAAAAGCATAGATCTGAAATTGTTCTGTCTCACCTTTCTTCTTTCCAAAAGATGAAAGAGTACAAACTCACACAAACACAGGCAGGCAAGCTGGCTCAGACTTCACAGAGTTAATTCTTTGGAACTGATAATGTCCTTGGCATTCCAACAGGCTCTGCCTGCCAAGTCTGAACTGATAACAAGTAAAAAGCTACTTCCAGAAAATTACAAGGCAGACCATAAAATCATTCACAAAGAAAACCTGAAGCAAGATTAAACTTTGTCCCATACAAAGTTCCAGCCGACAACACGCCCACTTTTATCCCCTGTGGAGTGTTGCTCAATGACTCAGCTCACTCTCTGACCCTCCCACGCCTCCTACGTTGCTGCTCATGTTTCTTCCTACGATGCTTAGGATCAAGCCAACATTCTTCCTCTTGACTCCGTCAGGGAATGCTCCATATGCCTGCCTCCTGATTAATCTCAGGCTGTTCCTCTCAGTTGTCTGATGAAACCTGAGGCATTATCAGGGAGGAAGCCATTGCCAGAGAGGAAGGTCCTGGGGAGGAAGGCATTCCCAGTTCCTCCTCATCTTCCGAGTCCTCTTCCTCTAACAGCACAGGCTCGGGAATCGGAGCCACAACACTATCACAACACTGCCCTTCCCCCGAGTCTGACGGTCAGGATGTGGTCTCAAGGAGAAATGGTAATGGAACATCCGTATAAGGTCCAGGGTGTGGATCATGGAAGCATTCACCCAGGAAAGGGCCTCTGGCCCATCCCCCTGCTTCTCGATCAAATACTGGAACCGCCCTTTCAGCCAGCGGGAATCCCTAATGCCAACCATGTTGCCGTCAACTGCGTCATCTTCACTGGGCACAGGTGGTGGATCATCAGCTGCGGAATGTCGAAGATCACATGAAGGGGCATCAGGGACCAAAAGGGAACGGTGGAAGACTGGATGAATTCGCATGGAGCACAGTAGAGTCAGTCAATAGGCTACGGGGTTGATGGCCGTCTCGATGGGAAATGGGCCGATGAACCGGTGGTCCAGCTTCTTTATCGGGTGGTCAACCTGAAGATGTTTTGTGGACAACCACACATGGTCTCCTACAGCCAGCAGAGGCGTTGCCCATCGAGAGCGATCTGCGAACCGCTTGTAATCTTCCTTGGCCCGTATCAGTTGCTGCCGAACTAACTGCTGAACTGAGTGTAGTTCCAAAAGGAATTCCTGAGTCTCAGTAACAGGGGAATCTAATAGTGTCAACGGAAAGAACCGTGGATGGTACCCCACATTAGCATAAAATGGTGTCATTTGTATGGAGGTGTGCTGGGAATTGTTGAATGCAAATTCCGCCAGAGGGAGATAATCAACCCAATTGTTCTGCCGGTGGTTTACAAACAACGCAAATATTGCTCGAGAATGCCAATGACCTCCGTCCCACCATCAGTTTCTGGATGGTGTGCCGACGACAAGCACACCTGCACCTGTAACACGGTCATCAGGCTTTTCCAAAATTGGGCTGTAAATTGCACACCGTGTTCAGAAACTACCCTGTCTGGCAGACCATGGAGATGAAAAACATGCTGCAAGAACAAACGGGCAGTTGTACAGGCCGATGGCAATTTACAACACAGAATGAAGTGGGCCATTTTTGTCAACGTGTCGACCACCACAAGCACAGTCGTAAATCCTGAAAATGATGGTAAATGAGTCAAGAAGTCCATGGAAATCGCTCTCCATGGTCTTTCTGGAGTCGGCAGAGGTTGGAGGAGACCAGGAGCACCCGTCGCAGCTTTTGCTTGCCTGCACGGTACACAGGATGTGACATAGGCGTGGACATCATGCCATACTTGAGGCCACCAAAAAGTCTGCGTTACAAGATGGAGGGTCTTAAAAAAACCAAAATGGCTGGCTGCAGGGTTGTCGTGACACTGAGTCATAAGGGCTCAAAGCGGCCCCGTGGGTACGTACAACCGGCCCTGATGCTTGAGTAAGCCCTCCTCCAAAGTCTATGGGGATTCGGGTCCAATCTCCCCCATCCTCTGTTGCGACCAAGCGTCTAGGCGCTGTGCCTCTTGCACCTGAGTCCGCAAGTCCACTGGTTCCTGGACTGCGGCCTAGGATTCTGCTGGCAGCACCGTCCGTGGAAGAAGGGGGTCCTCGGGGCAAAGGTACTCAGGTTTGCGGGACAGGGCATCCGCCCTCCGATTGTGACCACTGGGGATATAGGTCACAGAAAAATTGAACCGGGCAAAAAACAATGACCACCGGATCTGTTGCTGATTCAACTTTTGTGCCATTGACAAATGTTCTAAATTCCGATGGTCCGTCCGGACCTCCACCTTGTTTCGGACCCCCTTGAGATGATGTCACCAAGTCTCAAATGCAGCCTTGATAGCCAGTAACTCTTTTTCCCACATGGTGTAATTGCGTTCAGAAGGAGTGAGTTTCCGGGAATAATAAACGCAGGGAAAAAGAGTGGCGCTATCCGCCGGGGCTTGCAACAACACAGCCCCAATAGCCACGTTGGACGCATCCGTCTCCACCAAAAAAGGACGATGCAGATCAGGGTGCCTCAGGATGGGTTCTGTGACAAAAGCATTCTTGAGGGCCTCAAAAGCCTGTTGCTGCAGGGGCCCCCCCACTGGAACAGGACCTACTTTCGAAGGAGCTGAGTTATTGGACCCGTCAGCTTGGCAAAACCCGGGATGAAGGTCCGGTAATAGTTAGTGAACCCCAATAGGCATTGAACGTCCTTCACGCCATGAGGGGGTTCCCAACTACATAAGGCCTCCACCTTATGCGGGTCCATGGCGATTCCTTTGGGAGAAATGATGTGCCCAAGGAACTCAATGGAAGTCTGGAAGAAGAAACATTTCTCCAGCTTCGCATAAAGTTGGTGCTCCTGAAGGCGTTGCAAGACCAGACAAACGTGTTGAAGGTGACTGTCCCTGGACCCAGAATAGATCAGAATATTGTCCAGGTACACCACCACGAACTGATCTAACATATCCCGAAACAAGTCATTCATCAGGCACTGGAAGACTGTGGGGGCGTTGGTCAACCCAAACGGCATCACAGTGTACTCAAAATGGCCATATTGGGTGCCAAATGCCATCTTCCATTCATCCCCCGCTTGCATCCACACCAGGTTGTAGGCCCCTTGAAGATCGAGCTTGGTGAATATAGTGGCCTCCCACAACCTCTCCAACAATTCCAGAATGAGTGGCAAGGGGTAGCTATTCCACACCATGATGGCGTTTAGCCGGCGGTAGTCACAGCACAAGTGTAAGTCTCCCGCCTTCTTGTTGACGAAGAGGACTGGGGCTGAAAGAGGGGATGCCGAAGGCCGGATGAACCCTCGGGCCAAGTTTTTGTCCAAAAAGTCCTGTAGTGCGTTTGATACGTGCCCGGCCTAGGGTTTCCCCCCAGTCCGGGCCTGCCTTGTTTCCCGACTGATCACGCCGAGATTCAGGCACAGACTTG